TGCGCGGTCTGGCCGCGCCCGTCACCGCCGATGCCGCGGCTGCCCTCTCTCTCTCTCGGGTTGTCGCGGCCCTGGGGCCCACCCCCGCTCCACGCGCGTCTGGCTGAGGCGCGTGGAGCATCGCTGGGCGGGGGTCGCGGCCGTGAAGCCCACCCCCACTCCACGCGCGTCTGGCTGAGGCGCGTGGAGCAAGGAGGAGGAAGAGAGGGGGAGGGAGGAGGAGGAGGAGGAGGAAGTGAGGAGGAGGAGGAGGAGGAGGAGTAGGAGGAGGAGGAGGAGGAGGAGGAGGAGGAGGAGGAGGGGGAGGAGAAGGACGACGAGGGGAAGCGGTAGTGATAATGAAACTGACGTTGTTGATGATGATGCTGATTATGAGGTTGATGTTGATGATGATGCTGATGCTGATACTGATGATGATACTGATGTTGATGCTGATTTTAATGGTGATGCTCATGATTGGTGATGTTGATGACGATGACGACACCGGTTTTGATATTGTTAACGCTGATGATGTTGATGATGATGATGATGTTGAGTATTGTGTGAATGATGCTGCTGATGATTGCGATGCTGATGATGATGCTGCTGATGCTGATTATGCTGATGATGCTGATGATGATGGTGCTGATGACTATGTTGATGATGGTGATGATGATGATGATGATGATGATGATGATACTGATGATGCTGATGCAGCAGATGATGGTGGTGCTGATGGTGGTGATGGTGGTGATGGTGATGCTTGTGATGCTGATGCTGCTGATTATGATCATGATGCTGCTGCTGATGATGATTATGATGATGGTGATGCAGTTGACGCTGATGATCGTGACGATTACGATGATGAGGCTGATGCTGATTATGCTGATGATGCTGATGCTGCTGATGATGATGCTGATGATGATGCTGATGATGATGATGCTGATGCTGAGATGATGGTGCATGGTGATGATGATGCTGACGAATATGATGATAATGATGCTGATGGTAATGATACTGATGATGTTGCTGCTGCTGATGATGATGGTGGTGGTGATGATGATGGTGATGGTGATGGTGATGATGGTGATACTTGTGATTATGCTGCTGATGATGATGATGATTATGATGATCCTGCTGATGATGATGATAATGATGGTGATGCTGGTGATGATGATGATGATGATGATGGTGATGATGAGGACGATTACGATGATGATGATGATGATGATGATGCTGATGATGATGATGATGCTGGTGATGATGATGCTGATGATGATGATGATGATGATGACTATCGTGCTGAGACTGATGATTATGAATGCTGATGATGATGATTATGCGTATGATGGTGCAGATGTTGTTGATGCCGATGCTGATGATGATGCTGATGATTATACAGATGCTGATGGTGCTGATGATGATGGTGATGATGATGATGTCGCTGATGATGATGATGATGATGATGATGGTGATGATGATGATGCTGCTGATGCTGATGCTAATGCTGATGCTGATGCTGATGATGCTGATGATGCTGATGATGCTGCTGCTGATGATGATGATGATGCATGGTGATGATGCTGATGCTGATGCTGATGCTGATGCTGATTGTGCTGCTGCTGCTGTCGATACTGAAGCGAGACTCGGAGACTGCTAGGGCAAGGGAGTCCACCCGAAGCGTCGGTGGGTTTACAGTCGGCCTCTCACTGTGTGCCCCATTTTCGGGTGGGGTCTCCGCTTGTGGACCCTACAAGGATCCTCCTGCCCCGACCTCCCTCCCTTGCCTCTCTCTCTCTCTCTTCACTGCGCCTCCCTGCCCCGCCCCCGCGACTCGGGAGCGGCACCCGCCGCAGCCGACTCCGGGCGGGCGGGCCGCCGCCTCCGCGTCCTGCAGCCAGGAGGCGACGGCAGCGGGGTCTGGTCTGCCGTGGGCTTGCGAAGGGCCCGGGCCTTCGGGCCGCGCCCCGGGCCACGGGTCGGGGAGTCTGCTCGTGGCCGAGGCCTGTCGACCACCACCACCACCACCAACGCCACCACCACCAACGTCACCACCACCAACGTCACCACCACCACCACCACGACGACGACGACGACGATGACGACCACCACCACCACCACCACCACAACCACCACCACCACCAACGTCACCACCACCCACCACCACCACCACGACGACGACGACGACGATGACGACCACCACCACCACCACCACCACCACCAGCACCACCCACCACCACCACCACCACCACCACCACCACCACCACCACCACCACCACCACCACCAACCACCACCACCACCACCACCACCACCACCACACCACCACCACCACCACCACCACCACCACACCACGACGACGACGACGACCACCACCACCACCACCACCACCACCACCACCACCACCACCACCACCACTCGGGGGTGGACAGAACCCCCACCCTGACACGTCGATCAGTGAACTGTCCGTTTTCGGTTCTCGGGAGTGGCCGCGGCCGTCATTTTCCAGGCTTTCGCCCGCCAGGGTTGGGCCCGAGGTCGTTTTCACTAAGCCACGTTTTACGGGGCGTCTGTCCATCCGCGAACTACCACCACCACCACTGACCGTACACACGCTAGCGGCGGTGTAGGTGACGGCGATGTAGGCTGCGGTATTGCAGGTGGGGCTGGTTCGTGGCCACGCCACTTGTATGAACGCGTGGTTCGTGTTCTCCCACAAGTCGCCGTGCCGTTGCGGCTCGATACATCCGCGTACGCGACATTTAGGAGAGTGTGGCTCATGATGTCCTACGATTTGTTCTGCGCGAGTTCGGCGCCACAAAAACCAGATCCCCATCGTAACAACCGTTGACCAGCATCGCCAGTAGAGTGGCCTTGGCACTGAGCCGGGCGCCAGGAAAGCCGCGTGGGTAGAAGAGCACCCTGCGCTCCTCGCTTGGCGTTCCTCGTGGCAGCACGATGGCAGTATACTTTCAGAGGCTCGTTTGGATGTATTGGATCGGCGCCGGACCCCTTGGCGGCGCCTCTGGCGCGGCCCCTGGCTCGCTCCGCGCGCTTGAGAGTGCGGCCCAGCGCGGACCCAAGACATCCACGCGGGCATTTGGCAATTTTTGCCTGCTCTCTCGGCATCGTTCGGAAGTGTGAACTTTCTTCGGCGAGGACTATCGAGGGGCACCTCGGTTCAGCCTGCAAGTAAGCGCGCGGAGCCGACATAATTCAGCGGGTTGGTGGGCGTTTTCTTATTCGGTGTTTCGACTCTGGGCGGAAGGGGCGGAGGGGGGGTGAGCATGCTACGCATGGAATGAATTCAATGGAAATAAAATAGCAGTGGATCCGTGAGTGGATCAATCTAGAGTGATGAGGCTAGGATGCCTCTTTTGATTTTGAGCCGGCTATGATGCCCGCTCGTGCCCACCCCGTCCCGTCTTCAGGGGCTTCGCATCCTCCTATGATGATAAGATGGGAAGACGGGCCGCCGCCCCTGGCACTGCACGTACGGTGCCAGGTTTTTGGGGACTTGGTTCGACCCCCGCAGTTCCGATGATGGAAACTGCGAGGGGTGTGAGGCCTCATGGTGGTCCTCACTGGTAAGGCCTATGATGGTCCTCACCGGGGGGGAGAGGACAAGGGCGGACCAGGAGGAGGAGGAGAAGGAGGAGGAGGAGGACGATGACGAGAAAGTTGAGTTCAATGAACAGATTGAGCGCGAAGGCCTATGATGGTCTTTCTTCCCAAAACGAGCCTTGCTGATGGCCCCGAATTGGGTGCGAGGTGCCTAGGATGGCCCCTCTGGTTGCCTATGATTGCGGCACTAGACGACCGGCAGGGGACTGGGACCCGTTCGCGGTCCATGAGGGGTGAGCATGCTACGCATGGAATGAATTAATTCAATGGAAATAATTTGCAGTGGATCCGTGAGTGGATCAATCTAGACGGATGAGGCTAGGATGCCTCTTTTGATTTTGAGCCGGCTATGATGCCCGCTCGTGCCCACCCCGTCCCGTCTTCAGGGGCTTCGCATCCTCCTATGATGGTAAGATGGGAAGACGGGCCGCCGCCCCTGGCTTTGCACGTACGGTGCCAGGTTTTTGGGGACTTGGTTCGACCCCCGCAGTTCCGATGATGGAAACTGCGAGGGGTGTGAGGCCTCATGGTGGTCCTCACTGGTAAGGCCTATGATGGTCCTCACCGGGGGGGGAGAGGGCAAGGGCGGACCAGGAGGAGGAGGAGGAGAAGGAGGAGGAGGACGATGACGAGAAAGTTGAGTTCAATGAACAGATTGAGCGCGAAGGCCTATGACGGTCCTTCTTCCCAAAACGGGCCTTGCTGATGGCCCCGAATTGGGTGCGAGGTGCCTAGGATGGCCCCTCTGGTTGCCTATGATGGCGGCACTAGACGACCGGCAGGGGACTGGGTCCCGTTCGCGGTCCATGAGGGGTGAGCATGCTACGCATGGAATGAATTCAATGGAAATAAGTTGCAGTTGATCCGTGGGTGGATCAATCTAGACTGATGAGGCTAGGATGCCTCTTTTGATTTTGAGCCGGCTATGATGCCCGCTCGTGTCCACCCCGTCCCGTCTTCAGGGGTTTCGCATCCTCCTATGATGGTAAGATGGGAAGACGGGCCGCCGCCCCTGGCTTTGCACGTACGGTGCCAGGTTTTTGGGGACTTGGTTCGACCCCCGCAGTTCCGATGATGGAAACTGCGAGGGGTGTGAGGCCTCATGGTGGTCCTCACTGGTAAGGCCTATGATGGTCCTCGCCGGGGGGGAGAGGGCAAGGGCGGACCAGGAGGAGGAGGAGGAGGAGGAGGAGGAGGAGGAGGAGGAGGAGGAGGAGGAGGAGGACGATGACGAGAAAATTGAGTTCAATAAACAGATTGAGCGCGAAGGCCTATGACGGTCCTTCTCCCCAAAACGAGCCTTGCCGATGGCCCCGAATTGGGTGCGAGGTGCCTAGGATGGCCCCTCTGGTTGCCTATGATGGCGGCACTAGACGACCGGCAAGGGACGGACCTTTGCTTGGAGCGATTGTGTGCAGCGGGGCGACCATCATGGGGGAGAGTCCACCTGCTCGAAACAGGCGCCAACAAAAATACCCAAGATCTGCTCCATGCAGGGGGGGAGGGGGAGGGGGGTGCGAGGGCCCGCGCCGATCGGCAAAACAGTGCATAAGAAAAGAATCGCGTGGCCGCGTTTTGCTTCTGCACCCGCGCGCCTCGTGGCAACACCGCGGCCGCGCTCGCGCCCGGTCGCGGCCCTCTCGGGTTCGGCCCCCGCCCGCCCCGGGCCCCCCCTTCCGCAGCAGTGCGCGAAGCTTCTGCGCCACCTGGACCTCGGCGGGGTGACCATCAGCATGAGGCGGCCCGCCCTCCTCCTCCTCCTCCTCTTCCTCCTCCTCCTCGTCCTCCTCCTCCTCGTCCTCCTCCTCCTCGTCCTCCTCCTCCTCGTCCTCCTCCTCCTCGTCCTCCTCCTCGTCCTCCTCCTACTCGTCCTCCTCTTTACCCTCCTCCATTCCTCTTTCCCTCCCTGCTCCTCCATCTCTTCGTTTCTCATCCTCCGTCTCCCGTCTCTCCAATTCCTGCTCCTCCCTCCTCTCCTCTACTCCGTCCTCCTACTCCTCCTCCTCCTCCTCCTCCTCCTCCTCCCTCCCTCCCTCCCTCCCTCCCTCCCTCCCTCCCTCCCTCCTTTTTCCCTTCTCCCTCCTCGCTCCCCCCCTGGTCGCGCTCGCCCTCCGTGCGCGCTCCCTCGCGCGGAGGGCGATGACGCCGACGCCGACGCCGACGCCGACGCCGACGCCGACGCCGACGCCGACGACGACGCCGACGACGACGACGACGTCGACGCCGACGCCGACGCCGACGCCGACGCCGACGCCGACGACGACGACGACGACGACGACGACGAGGGGGAGGGGGGAGCAGGAGCTTGGGAAGAGTGTGGGAGGAGGGATCACATGTTTTATTTCGCGTGCGCTGCCACGAGCGCCCATGGAAAAACCACGTCTGGCTCCCGGGACGAGCTCGAGCCCACCGGTGGCTTCGGAAGAGGTGCAACGAAAAGGGAATTTGCACACCTCGGCTGGAGAAAGATGGGGGGAGAGAGGAAAAGGTGCAATCTAACGAGCGCGGGAACGGATGGGGAGGGCTCGCAATCGCCGAAGGGACAGCTGAGGGGCTTGGCATCCCAGCAGCCTGCGCCGCCAGACCCGCTGCTGACAGGAAAGGTTGCCATGGACAGAGGGGCTTCGGTCCCATGTCCTTTGGTGTCGGTGCGTGCAGAATCCCCGAGGTCCGCCCGACCTCCGTGTCACATTGAGCCCAAGGCATGGTGCAGGTCACGGGGAGCCCTCACGTGCGCTACGGCCAGGCAGCGCGCCTTTGCGTAGTCACCTGCGCCCACGAGACGCCTCAGGCGCCAAGCGCGCGGGGCCGCCTCCTCCCCACTGCAGTTCATGCCATCCCCCGGAGAGCCAAGCATCGCCGCCGTGTCAAGGCCACAAGCGTCCAGAGCGTCCATGCTGACATGTAATGCCGTGGTGTACTCCCGTTTCCACACGTGGACTTCCAGCCATGCTCGCGACCACATTTTCGCGTCACGAATGGGCTTGGAGGATGAGGAGGAAGAGGAGGAGGAGGAGGAAGAGGAACAATAAGAATAATAATAAGAAGCAGAAGCATAAGGAGGAGGAGGGGGAGGAGGAGATGGAGGGCAAGCCTGGAGCAGGAGGACGAGGAGGAGGAGGACGAGGAGGAGGAGGAGGAGGAGGAGGAGGAGGAGCCGGACGAGCGAGAGACGCCAAGGGCACGGCTGGGGGCCGCCTGCGCGAGGTTCTACCTGCCCCTGTGCGTGGCGCTGCGCGAGCACGGCGCGATCACGAACCTGTGCCTGGCCGCCACGGGCCTGGGCGAAATCTCCGACTCGCTGAGCGGGCGGCTCGGGCCCCCGCTGCGCCTCCCCCTCCTCCTCCCCCTCCCTCTCCTCCTCCTCCTTGTCCTCCTCCTCCTCCTCCTCCTCCTCCTCCTCGTCCTCCCTCCTCCCCCTCCTTCTCCTCCTCCTCCTCCTCGTCCTCCTCCTCCTCCTCTCCTCCTCCTCCTCCCTTCCTCCTCTCATCTCCTCTCTCCCTACGCCTCCTCCTCCTCCTCCTCCTCCTCCTCCTCCTCCTCCGCCTCCTCCTTCTCCTCTTCCTCCTCCTCCTCCTCCTCCTTCTCCTCTCCCTCCCTCAGATCGGTGCCGTTTAACCAATCCCCATCCCCATCCCCATCCCCGTCGAGACCCCCACCAAACTGCCACCCCAGTTGGGGATGCACCCCTCGAAACCCGAAGGGGACGGCCCATATCCCCATCTAGGGGGGTAAATCGGCCACTGGGGCCCAGACCACGCCGCTGGAGATGGGAATCGGTTAAACGATACTCATCAGAGGAGGAATCGGTATCCATACCTGTACCCTTTCCTCGTTTTCCCCTTTTTGGGTCTTCTGGGATGCCGTCGTCGCCACCGCTGGATTCGCCTCGAGATCCTGGTCAGAACCCACCCCAGGAGCGTTCCAAGGAGTAGCGGTATCGGTACCTTTTGGTTTCCCACTGCGGCCTCTTCAAGGCCGGGCTGGACGAGAGGGCAGGACAGGGATGGGGGGGGTGCGAAATCTGCTGCGTGCAGCCTGTCTCCGCCCAGCCGCCGGGCCCATTCCTCGATACATGGGTGCCTCCTCCTCCTGGCGCCGGGGTGCGCCGGGAAGAGCAGCTACGTGGGCTGTTTCTCTACCCTACCCTTTGTTGTTATCCCCCCCTGTTCTTGGCATCGCTCAGATGTGTACATTGTTTCTCGGCGAGAACCGTCGAGGACCATCCCGGACCATCGAGCAGCAGAAAACACGCACGAAACCGAAACAAATGCAAGGGAAATGGCCGTCCGAGCGACGGCCAGTGTTCGTCCGGCCCAACAAGTCACCGCCCACCAAACCACCCCAACCCAACCCGAAGGCCACGATTTGCCCTCCATTTCCACTGGGGGTTGGGTCAGGGAACACAAAAAAAAACACGTGGAACCCGTACCCCCCCCAACCCGAAATTCGGGTCAAATTCGGGTCTTCGGGTTGGGTTGGGGTGGGGCTGCGTCAGGGGGGGGGGCCGGCTCAGGGGGGAGGGGGGGTGCGCCGACGCCCGGGCATGCATGGATCGCACCCCACCCCGCCCGGGAACGTGCGGTGTGCGCCTGCCATCGAGAGAGCCTACCGCCGACCCATCGACGACGTATCGATGACGAACGAGCAACACGCACCCAAGTACCCACAGGTGGGACGGAGGGGGCTATTCGGAGGTGGATAGACCTCCGACCCTGACACGTCGATCAGGGAATTTGCAGTTTCGGTTCGCGAGAGGGCGTCGCGGCCGTCATTTTTGCGGGTCTGGGTCCGTCTGTTTCGGTCCCAGGCCGTTTTCTTTAAGGAGAGGTTTACTAAAGGGAGGTTTGTCCACCGCCGAGCTATGGGTGCGTGTTGTCGGATGGGGGTCCCCGCTCGAAAGGAAGCACCCCCCAGGATCCGACAGCCCGCACCCATGCCCACAGCCAGGCCTCCTCCCAACATTCCTCCCAAGGGTATGGGTGTGTGTGTGTGTTGCTCGTTCGTCAGTATCGCCGATTCAGGCCCATGTGTCTCCCCTGAGCCAGTCCCCGCCCTACCCTGAACCCTGGGATCCGACGTTGCAAGAACGTTGTAACATCGCATCGAATCAAGACCAGAGCACCGGACCCCGTCTTTCTGCGTTACGTTCCGAGCCGCATCGATCTTTGAGGGTCCCAGGGACAGAAAAAAAGGCGAAACCGCCCAGCTCGAAAAAATTGAGACGCCAGGATCCCAGGTCCCAGAGCCTACTACTGCTGCCCTGCAAAGACCGACCTGTGCGAACAACCCGGGGGGACGGGGGCGGCACGTCCTTGAAGAGGCCTCGTCGGTCGTCGGAGGAGCCTCCGCTGCCTCTCTGGACTCTCCGGCCTCTGGCGCCGCCCCCCCGCGCCGCCTTCTCTCATCCTGGCCGCCTCCCTCGCGGTAGGGCGTCCTCTGGCATCTCTTCTTGCCGCCTTTCTGCCTCTCTCGAAGAAGAAGAAACGGCATAACCATACACTTTGAGCGGTTCGCGCGGATTTCTTGGATCTGCGCTGGGACCCCCTGGCGGCGCCTCCGGCGCCGCCTCTGGCGCGCTCCGCGCGCCAGGGAGGGGGGTCTGGATCAGATCCAGCAAGTCCGCGCGGTCCGTCAAGAGATGATCTGTTGATGCCGTTTTTTGCTCCTCCAGCCTCGTCCTCCTGCCTCGACCTGTGCTGGGCTCAGGGTAGAATCAGCCGGGATCCCGCAAATGGTGTGTGTGCCTTGTGTGTGTGTGTGTGTGAGTTCGATCGGTGTTTGCACCGGACCGCCCAAAACATATTCCCCCCCCAGCCGTAGAGGCAGCTTCCGTAGGGGGCCACATGCGAACCCTACCCCTACCCCCGACGATTTCTGAAGGGGAGGGCGGTGGGGTTCACTTCGCTCGGAAATCCTCCCCGAGCTTCACCTCACTTCGCACTTCACTTCGAACGAAGTGAACCAAGTTGGGACTGTCCCTCTTCAGGAGGAAGATTCAAAAATAGTCGGAATATAGCCTGGGGGCGATTGTTGATTATTGTTGTTGTTATTTTTGAGTATTTTTTGAATATTTCTGATTGTTCGTCCAAGATCTCCCTGTACGGGGACACGCCCGACCTAGATGCTGGCACTGCAATTTTTTCATCGCGGGCGTTGTCGCTCAGTTTCGGGCCCCGGGGCCCTCATACATCGCTCCGCCTCGAGAAATGGCGCAGAAAGATGGGGTCCGGGGCTCCAGGCGTGAATTTTGCGACCTTGCAAGTCTCTGGCAACGTCGGATCTCGGGGAATGGGCGGACAAGGGAGTGCCAGCCTCTGCGCTCCCTCCTCCTCCTCCTCCTGCTCCTCCTCCTCCTCCTCCTCCTCCTCCACAGAGAGCAGCAGCAGGGTGCATTCGCCCTGGCTGCCCGGCCTGGCCGGCGCGGAGCGCCGGCGAAGCCTGACCACGCCCCCGGGCGGGGGCCCTGGCGCGAGGGGAAACGAAAGAAGACGTCAGAGAGTCGGCTGCCAGTGCATACAGGGCGTGACAACGACCACAGCCACTGCTTTTCTTTTGTTGCCGCCTTCCAGCCAGCAGAAACCAAGCAGTGGTTGTGGTCATGTTCGTCAAGCTTGGCACCGGGGAAATGACCACAACCACTGCTTCTTTTTCGATCGGCTGGAAGGCGGCGCAAACAGGAAGCAGTTGCTGTGGTTATTTTCCCGTCCCGCAATACAGTGGAGACCCATGCCAAGAAGCACCCTGCTTGCCTCCAGGGTGACCTTGGGTTCTTGGGTTTCGATGGTCTTTCTGTGGAGGGCGCGACGTTCCCACACCAAAGAGCAATGGACGTCCTGGGGTCTCAGGCTTGGGCTTCCCGTGGAAGGTTGCTTGTGGACTGGCCTCCACTGTAGCCGTGACCACAGCCACTACCACCACCACCACCACCACCACCATCACCAGGAGGACCTCTCGTCCTCCTCACCCCCTCTCGTCCGACCTGACCTCTCCCAGCCGCCCCGGCCGCCGCCACGCCCGCCTCGACAGGCGGGGGATGCGTCCGACCCCGCCCCGCCCCGCGCTTCCCTGGCGGAGGCGACGACGACCGACGACCGACGACGATCGACGACTGACGACCGACGACGAGCGGCGGCAGGGGGGCGACGGCGACCGACGGCGACGACGACCACGGCGACGGCGGCGACGACCCACGGCGGAGACGACCGATGGTTTCTCGGCGATTGGCGGCGCCGACGACGCGGTGGCCGAGGCATGCAGAGCATCACGGAATTGTTGGCCAGCCCCGGGCTCGACAAGCTCGACCTCGGTTGGAGCTGCTTCTCCAGAGAGGCAGCCTGTAGCCGAGGGCAGAGGATGAGGAGGGAGCGAGGGGGAAGGATGAAGAGGCGGGAGGGAGGAAGGGCGGAAGGGAGGGGCGAGGGAGGAGGTTTGTTGGAATCTCGTCGAAGCCTCGCGGGGGCCTCCTGGAGGCAGGTTTGAAGCCACTGGTGGGGCTGTTTGAGGCCTCTTGGGGCCCCTGTTTAGCCTCTTGGTGACCTCTTGTGGGCCTCGTGTGGGCCTCTGGGCGCCTCCTGGGACCTCTTGGGGGGCCTCCTGGGTGCCCCTTGGGGCGGAGGACTGGGATGTTCGGTTCGTGGTGCCCTCTCGTGGCCGTCTCGGTGCCCTCTCGCGCCGTCTTGGGCGCGCCTGTGGCCGTCTTGGGGCCCTCTTGGGCCGTCTTGGGGCCCTCTTGTTGGGGGCATCTTGCACGCAAGACGCCCCGAGTCGCCGCGCGCTCGGTCCAAGACGCCCACGATGGCCCCAAGATGCCCCCAAGACGCGCGAGGAGGCCTCCGAGAGGCCCCCCGAGAGGACCCCAAGAAGCACACATTATTGATGTTCCTGAGGTGTTTGCAGGATGCTGGCGCTCTCGCCTTCTCGGCTTCCCGGCGCTCCAGGGCGGCCCACGAGGCCGGCAAGATCGCCCCAAGACGGCCCAGGAGGCCCCACGAGGGCTCCCACGAGGGCCAAGAGGAGTCCCAAACGGCCCACGAGGCGCCCAAGACGGCCCGAGAAGCCCCCAAGACGGCTCCAAGATGGGGTCCCGACGGGGGATCGGACATTTCAAGCCCTCTCTACCCGGGGAGACCGCCAGGAGGCCCCCAAGAGGCCCCCAAGAGGCCGCCAACATCGCCCCAAGAGGCCCCGAAGAGACCCCCGAGGAAGCCCAAAGAGTCCCCTGAGAGGTTCTCAAGAGGCCCAAGAGTTAAGTCGGGCATGTCCCTCTGCAGGAGGAATGTTCAGAAATAGTTTAAAAAATAGTATGGTGACGGTTTTTGAGAATTCTTTGAATATGTTTGAGCAATGTTGGACTATTGTTTTGCATTTTCGTCCAACATCCGCCTGTAGGGGGACATGCCCGACCTAGCCCAAGAGGCTCCCGAGCTCCAGGACTGCCCTCACGAGTCCCCCGAGAGCGCTCCGAAGGGATCTCCAGAAGCATCCCTGAGGCTTCCGGCCCACAACCCAGGCACGGGGGGCCTTTCGGGGCCTCACGGGTGCTTCTTGGGGCGGAGGGTTCGGATCTTCAGTTCGTGTTGCCCCTCTTGGGCCCCTTTGAAGCCGTCTTGGGGCCCTCTTGGGCCTTCTTGGGCGCGCCTTTGGCCATCATGGGGCCCTCGGGGTTGGGGCCTATTGGGCAGTCTTGGAGTGGTCTCTGGGGCCTCTTGGGTCGTCTTGGAGCGTCGGAGGGTCGAAGATTGGAGAATACAACAAGCACCGAAACACCAGGTGAAAATCAGTGACTTCGGCCTCTCGGGGCACTCTTGCTCTTGGGGCGTCTCGAAGGCCTCTCGGGCAGTTTTGAAACCATCCCGGGCGTCGCGGACCGATAAAAGTGCGGCGGTTCGGGCCCCTCGTCGGGGCCGTCTTTGGGGGCCTCTTGAGGCCCTCCTTGGCCCGTCGTGGGCCCCCCCCCCTCGGGCCCGAACGGAGTCGTGCGAGGAGGCGCCCCGGGGCCGCGCAGGAATTAGCTCCTCCCATTGCGATGTTGTGCAGGAAGATTTTTGTTCCAAGGGCGATGGCCGCAGTCTTGGTGTGCACATTGGGTACATCCCTTAGTCAAGCGTCCTAGTGTCAGCGACCCATAGAATGACCGGACAGCTCGCCCCTTGGCCCCCCGCCAGCCCCAAGCCAAGGGGCGAGCATATATACGGGCGCAGCACCGCGCTGGATGCGTAGCCGTCGGCTGGGCCAACCAAGCGAATGACGCATCGCGTGGCGGCTGGATGCCCGCGCCGAGCACAGCTCTTCTCGGCTCCTCCCTCCTCCTCCTCCTCCTCATCTTCCTCCTCCTCCTCCTCCTCTTTCCTCCTCCTCCTCCTCCTCCTCCTCCTCCTCCTCCCTTCTGCTGCCTCCTCATCCCGTCCGCGTCCTCCGCCTTCTTCCTCCTCGTCGTCCTCTCGGCTTTTTGCGTACAGGCATGATGCCCAAGATGTGGCAGGAAGTGCGATGCGTTCCCTAGTGGAAAAGCGAGCTTGAGCGCGCGTGCGGCTGCGGGCAGGCTGCGGCTGCGCGCGTGCCCTCTTGCGCAACTGGCCCAGAAATATCATCACCGTCCCTGGCGGAAAATCGCCACTGCCACCCGCGATATCCTCACCCGCTGGCTTAAGACTGCCACCGAAATATCCTCACCCGCTGGCTTAAAACTGCCACCCAAATATCCTCACCCGCTGGCTTAAAACTGCCACCCGAGATATCCTCACCCGCTGGCTTAAGACTGCCACCGAAATATCCTCACCCGCTGGCTTAAAACTGCCACCGAACTATCCTCACCCGCTGACTTAAAACTGCCACCGAAATATCCTCACCCGCTGGCTTAAAACTGCACACCGAATTATCCTCACCCGCTGGCTTAAAACTCACCCGCTGGCTTAAAACTGCCACCCGAGATATCCTCACCCGCTGGCTTAAGACTGCCACCGAAATATCCTCACCCGCTGGCTTACGACTGCCACCGAAATATCCTGACCCGCTGGCTTAAAACTGCCACCCAAATATTCTCACCCGCTGGCTTAAAACTGCCACCCAAATATCCTCACCCGCTGGCTTAAGACTGCCACCGAAATATCCTCACCCGCTGGCTTAAGACTGCCACCGAAATATCCTCACCCGCTGGCTTAAAACTGCCACCCAAATATTCACCCGCTGGCTTAAAACTGCCACCCAAATATTCTCACCCGCTGGCTTACAACTGCCACCCGAGATATCCTCACCCGTTGGCTTAAAACTGCCACCCGAAATATCCTCACCCGCTGGCCTAAAACTGCCACCCGAGATATCCTCACCCGCTGGCTTAAACCTGCCACCCGAAATATCATCACCCGCTGGCTTAAAACTGCCACCGAAATATCCTCACCCGAGATATCCTCACCCGCTGGCTCAGAACCGCCACCGAAATATGCTCACCCGCTGGCGCTTAAAACTGCCACCGAAATATCCTCACCCGCTGGCTTAAAACTGCGACCCGAAATATCCTCACCCGCTGGATAAAAACTGCCACCGAAATATCCTCACCCGCTGGCTTAAAACTGCCACCGAAATATCCTCACCCGCTGGCTTAAAACTGCCACCCGAGATATCCTCACCCGCTGGCTTAAAACTGCCACCCGAAATATCCTCACCCGCTGGCTTAAACCTGCCACCCGAGATATCCTCACCCGCTGGCTTAAACCTGCCACCCGAGATATCCTCACCCGCTGGCTTAAACCTGCCACCCGAAATATCCTCACCCGAGATATCCTCACCCGCTGGCTTAAAACTGCCACCGAAATATCCTCACCCGCTGGCGCTTAAAACTGCCACCCGAGATATCCTCACCCGGTGGCTTAAAACTGCCACCCGAGATATCCTCACCCGCTGGCTTAAAACTGCCACCCGAAATATCCTCACCCGCTGGCTTAAAACTGCCACCCGAGATATCCGCACCCGCTGGCTTAAAACTGCCACCCGAAACATCCTCACCCGCTGGCTTAAAACTGCCACCCGAGATATCCTCACCCGCTGGCTTAAAACTGCCACCCGAAATATCCTCACCAGCTGGCTTAAAACTGCCACCCGAAATATCCTCACCCGCGGAAATAAAACTGCCATCTAACGGCCTGGTGGTTCAGTTCAGTCTGTCAGTGTCTACCTCGCGAGAATCAAATTACGGGCTGCGCCCGTAAACTACAGAGGGGTGCAAGTCGCATCCGACATCTCGAAGACGGGGTCCACGCGGGAAGCCCCATGGGGGCACGCCGCATTGCCTCGGGAGATGTGGCAACTCTGGGCCCAGGCCCCGTGAAAAGGATCTCCAGGATTGAGGACTGAGGCTTGAGGGATTGCAGTGGGGGCGCGCACCAAGAAACCGTGCAGTCAAGACGCTGGAATGAGGAACTGCTTGGGTTCGGCAGGGGCTCGACGTTCCACGGGTTCCTCCATTGCTGTCCCTCTCGCCCTCCTCGGGCACGGAGGCGCTCTTAGGGCCAAAAAGGGGCTTCGTTCCTCATGTAGCGTTCCTTCTTTCAGTGGCCCGACCGTATGCTTTTCGTCAGGGTATCCTGGATCTCTTCGCTCCGCGCGCTGCGTGGCGACTTCCCGCGGCCGCCGCAGGGGCTGCTGCCTTCTGGATGCTCCGTGTTTTTTTTTCGCAGGTGCACCTCGCGCGCGGGTCTTCAGGGCTGGGGTTTCCTGCGAGGGTCTCTTGCGGCCGCTCCCGCAGTGTGAAGACTCTCCAGGATTGAGGACTGAGGCGTGAGGGATTAGGCTTATGTCGGGCCTGTCCCTCTACAGGGGGAATATTCAAAAATAGTCAAAACATAGTCTGGGGACTATTTTTTGATTATTTTTGGGCACCTTGGAGTATGTTTTGGGGTATTTGTATTTTTTCGCCCAAAATCCCCCTGTAGGGGGACAGGCCCGACTTAAGATTAGGCCAAAGGCCCGAGGACATTCCAGAGCGTGCCTTACGGGCCCGGCGGCGGATGCTCAGGAGGCTCACGCCATCCCGCCGACCCCCTGAGGAGAGGAGGTGTGCGGCGTCCGACTTTTCAGGAGGGGACAAACCACACAGACACAATTAATCGCGCCGATTTCCAAGGAAAAGATGGAAAACATAGGAAGTGGGGGGGAGAGAAAAACCCGAAAATATAGGAAAATATGGGGAATCCTGTTCTTTGTGTCTATTTATTTGTGTGTCCCAGGGCCCCTTCAGACTTTGAGTGTGCTGTCTGACGTTTACCATCGTTTTGCCTGCGTGTAGCTGTCGCTGATACGTTCTCCTCCACTGCCTCCGCTTCTGCTGCGGGGCTTCCTCTGGCGGCCTCTTGGAGGTCGAGGGGGCTGCCTATTGGAGGAGTTGTTTCGAAGCTGCTGGGGGCTTTCGGGTGCATTCTGGGGGCTATTATTTGGGGCCTCTTTGGGGCATGTCGGGGGTCTCGCTGCCATCTTGTGAGGGGCTCCCAAGGCTACCCACGCGCATGACTGTGCACGTGTACAACTGTGCTGTTGTCGAGGACTGCAGCGTGCTAGAACCTGAGTGTGCGGGCAAGGACGCGTGCGTCTATTCTCACGAATGAGCTTACACATCTTACGGTCGCCGAGGGCCCCCTCAATGCAGACAGCAAGAGCCTTGAGGTGGGGTGCGCAGTCTTGCTTTGTTTTCCTCCGCTCCTCCTCTCCCTCCTCTCCTTCCCCCTCCCTCCTGCAGCGTGTCAGCATGTAGATCACCATTCTTGCCAGAAAGTTTCTCTCAAGCACACGCAGCGATTGGGCCCAAGTCCGCCCATGCCTCTGCATTCCCTACACTTGCACTCGCGCAGCGGCTGCCTCCGCGAAATACCCCTTGACATCGCGGCCCCGACGTGCGATTGGTCTGCATATTGATCGCGGACGAAAGCTGCCGCTCCCCTGGCTGCAGCTTTTCCGCTATCAATATGCAGAATATGTATTTGGTTTTGTTCTGGCTTTGTAGAACGTCAAGCCCTCTTTGCAGAACATGTTGCTGGCGACCCCCCCGGGACCCCGGGGGGCGGTGTTCTAGCCTGGGACCCCCCCGCACCCCATCCACCCCTTCAGGTAGGGAGGGGATCAAACGGACGGGCTCCCTTTCGACTTCACTGCGACGTTCTTCAGTCTCTTTGCAACTGGGACCTGCGACGGCAGCGACACTGACAACGACGGTGACGACGGCGACGACGACGACGACGGCGACGACGGCGACGACGGCGACGACGACGACAGCGTCCTCCACACGCCGACAGGGTCGGCGGATTCTGCGATGCAGACGCTTGAGCTACAGTCGGGGCCCTGAAGAAGGAACCCTTTTCGTTGGGGAGGGGCTCCGTGTTCCTTAATTGTTTCGCAGTTTGCCTTGGATTTTCTTTAGATTTTCGATACGAAATCGAAGTTCAACTTATGGAAATAGGGGCCTCGCTCCTTATTTAGGGTTCCTTAGGTCAACGCCTCGACTGTAAAACTCGCATAGAGGAGCGCTGCGCTCGAAGTGGAGGCTCTGGGGGAGTGGCAGGCTTGTATGTTGAAATCGTGTGGTGACAGATTGTGTGGCGGCAGCGCGACGTTAACCATTGTCTGCATGGTCAGGACGCACAGCACCGTTTGCGCAGTTTCGCGAATCAGGGCCATTGACATGGACAACCTCCACAATTTGACAGAACTTGTCATGATCGTGAACAGCAACGTTGCCTTTTGGCCCGAAGTGGACGCTGTGAAGACCCAACATGTCGACACGCTGGAGATGCAAGCTTCCCTAAAAATGATTGGGACGATTTTAGCCTCTTGGAAGTCTCTTGGGGCTCCTCGTGGGGCTCTCTTGGGCCTCCCTCGGGGGCCTTGGGCATCTGGAGGGCACCGTGGCCAGTCTTGGGGCCTTCTGGGGCCGTCTCGGAGCGGTCTTGGACGAGTTTGAGTGCTTCGGAGAAAACCCTGGGCGTTGTTCGGGTCGTTTTGGGCGGGGTCTCCTAGATGGGGTCGGAGAAGATGGGGTCGGAGGATCGCGCCGCGTCGTCGATGCATCGACGAAGCGGCTCGATGTGGAGCCCGATTTTCCCCTCGCCGACGTTGCGGATGCGCCGCCGACGTCGCCGATGAATCGCCGATGCATCGCCGATACTTCGGTGATGCATTGGCGATGCGGCGCGATCCTTCGACCCCAGCCACTCCGACCCCATCTAGGAGGCCTCTATTTCGGGTGCTCCAGAGAACATCCTGGGAGTTCTTCGGGTCGTTTTGGGCGGGGCCACCCTCCTGGAGACCTGCGCGGCACCCCCCCCTGCAACGCCCAGAGGCGCCCGGAGGCGCCTGGGAATCCGAGGGTCCGGGCCCCCACGAGCTTTTCACAGACCCTCTGCCGCTCAGGACTGAATGAGCCGTGGGGCACTCCACTTAGTGCTGAAGGATACGTGTGTGTATATATATAAATATGTATGCGCATATATATATATATATATATAGAGAGAGAGAGAGAGAGTAAGAGAGAGAGAGAGAGAAAGAGAGCTATAGAGAGAGCTAGAGAGAGAGAGAGAGAGAGAATCATCGAGAGACAGAGAGAGAGAGAGAGAGAAAGAGAGATAAACGAAAATAGGGAGAGAGAGAGAGAGAGAGAGAGGCCTTCGGCCTATGCCGCCACCCTGCCGGGGTCGTGGACCCGGGGCCTCCCTGGGGCCCGCACGCGAGGGAGGGGCTCTCCCAGGAGGCCTCCCGGCGTGGCCCCCTCTCTTTTGGGGGTGGGGGGGGGGCCCTCGGGAGGCCTCCTGGGGGGGGCCCTCGGAGGCCTGCTGCCGGGCCTCCCGGGGAGCCCCCCTCTGTCGGTCGCCGCCGCGGCGGCCCGCTCCGTCGGGGAGGGGAGAAGCCGAGGCCCGCGCTCTCCCCTCCCCACCTGCCTGGCCAGCAGCCGGGGGGAGGGGGGAAGAGCGCCGAGCAGGGGCTCCTCCTCCTGACCGTCGTTCATCCCTCCTGCTCCTGCTCCTGCTCCTCCTCCTTTCTCGGCCTCCTCGTCCTCCTCCTCCTCCTCCTTTCTCGGCCTCCTCCTCCTCATTTCTCGGACTCCTCCTCCTCCTCCTCCTCCTCCTCCTCCTCCTCCTTTCTCGGCCTCCGAGATGGGATCGGAGCAGATGGGGTCGCAGGATCGCGCCGCATCGGCGACGCATCGGCGTTGCGGCTCGATGTGGGGCCCAATCTTCTCCTTTCCGACGTCGCTGATGCAACGCCGACGTCGCCGGTGCATCGCCGCTGTATCGGCGAGATTCCCCGACCCCATCTGCTCGGACCCCATCCAGGGTGCAGCAAGATTCCCCTACCCCATCTGCTCGGACCCCATCCAGGGTGCCTCTATCCTTGGCCCTCCATTCCCTCCGCGCTCCTCGCTCCGCCGGCGCGTGCGCGCGCGCGCGCTTGCACCGCAGGTCTTTACCCACCTGGGCCGGCGGCTCTCCGAGAACCGCACGGATCGCGCCCTGCACTCTTTTTCTGCTCCCTGCGGAGTGAGCATTGCGCGGGGGGGGTCAGCGGGGAGTCAGGAGGGGGGAGAAGAGGGATGGATGGAGAGAGGGAGAGGGGGGGAAGGGATTGTCAGGCGATCGCAAACATGGATTAAGGGGGCGTGGATTAGCCGATTTCCAGGGGGAACCGCGGATTTCCGCTGCCGAACGAGGCGGCACTGGCCGCATTTTGGGGAGGTGGATCCATGGATTTGGCGACCGCGCGCCAAATCCATGGATTGCTAATCCATGTTTGCGCGTCCCCGAGATTGGAGTGGGATTCGAATGGCTTGGTCCTCTCAACCGTGTGCATGCGGACTGAGACAACGAAAGGAACCAGCACAGAGCTGGCCTGGGGGTTGATGCCACCAACCACCAAGCCTAATTATCCTGGGCGGCAAGTGCTACCTCATGAACCGTAGCCCTGAAGGGCTTTCTAGATCTGTAGCCGAGAACGCTTGGCTCCAACTATCTCCCCCGTTTCGCGTCCGAGCGCTCCCTAGCATTGTAGCTGAAGATGTGACGCCCCTGCTTTGCTCGAGCTGATTCCTGCACCATCGCTAAGGACTGTTCTTCGCAACTCTCGCGCCCCCTGATTTCAGCGCTGCAGTATCGGGCTCTAGCTGCGCCTTCCGCCTCTCGTTCAGCACGACCGAGGTTGCTGGCCTCCCAACGCTGTAGCTGATGACGTCTGGCTGCAGCTTTGCCTCCGCTATCTCGCTGAGTAGCGACAGAGACTGTCGCCACTCGTCACACTTTTCGCCCTCGCTGCTCCCAGCACTGTTTTGTGAACTGTCGGACTCTACCATCGCCTTGCGCCCTTCTTGCACGTCCTGACTTAAATGCTGCAGGTGACATCGGGCTCTTGCTTCACCCTCCTCGTACCGATAAGGTGCGACACAGCCTGCTGCCAAACACCCTTCTGCGTGCCTTCTCACACTGCCAGCGCGAGCTGCCACTGCCTGTCTTCTCGTACGACCTGGTCCCAGCAGCACTGGCTGATGTTGTTTGCTTCTCGCGCGCCCTGATCCCAACGATGCAGCTGATGACATCGGGCTCTATCTTCGCCTTCCATCTCGCTGAGTAACGGCAGAAGTTGCTGCCACTGCTCTGCCTTCGCACACGCACGAGCTGGCCGCAGCCACTTCCCCCTTCTCGCGAGCCCTGACCCTTGACGCCGTGGCTGGCACCCCCGAGCTGGGCCCAACCCCGTAGCCGATGCAAGGCCTCGCCTTTTCTCACACGGTCGGCTCCCCGCGCTGGCAGCTGATGATGCCGGCCCGCGCGTCGCTCCTCGCACTGGCCACGCCTGCTGCCACTGCTTGCCCTCCTCGCCCTGACAGCGCCTGCTGCCGCTGCCCACCCGTTGCGCACGAGCGGGCTCCGGCGGCGCAGTGGATGTCCCCGACACCATAAATCATCGATTCCCCTGAAATATGGGAAATATGGGAGTTGGGGGGGAAGACAAACACCCAGAAAATATAGGAAAATATGGGGAATCCTTTGATTTGTGTGTATTCAGTTGTGTGTCCCAGGGCACCTTCATGATGGTGTGTGGCTCCTGCACCTGCGCTCCCGCGCCATGACAGAGCTCGCTGCCACTGCTCGGCCGTCCTTGCACGGGGCCCCAGCGGCTGCCACTGCTGCCGTTCGCGCACGATCGGATCCCAGCGCTTGGCATCGCTCGGACGTGTGCATTTTTCCGTCGGCGAGGACCATCGAGGAGCATCCTCGATCATTTGGCGAAGAAACCATGCACGAAACCGAAAAAAAACACAGGAAACGGACGTCCGAGCGATGGCCAGAGCGCTGCAGCTGGCGAGGCTGCCTTCCTTGAGGTCTGAGTCCTGCACCGCTGCGGCGGCCCGGCGTCGGCGGCCGCCGCCGCTCGCCAGGCCGGGGGGGCGGAGGGGGGGGGAGAGCAAAAGGCACGGCGACGAGGGGGCGGAGGGAGGGCACTCCGCCTGGCGGCCTCGCCCGCGCCTGGTCTCGGCATGGCAGCTGGCGGTGTTGGGCGCGGCGGTTCTTCGTCGCCGCCCCCGAGCGCGAGGCCGTGCCGAAGCCGGCGCTGGAAACGCCCGCGCGCGCCCCGTGCAGGGGGGGGCCGCCCGGACGCGAACTGGCTCGGGGGGGGGGGGGATGGGGGAAGGTTGGAGGGTGAAAGAGGGGGTCTGCAACAGGGGGTCTTCAATGGGGGCTGAATGGCCCATGTATGCTCAATGTATCGTTCATGTATGTGAACGGGTACGATTGGCATCCAATGTTGGCGGTCATTGAGGGCCAGTCGTTCGTGCCCGCGCGTTGCCCGCGCGGGCACACGCGCCGTCCATCCATTATCGTTCATGCGTGCGGGGGTTCATGCATATTGCGCGTGGGGCAGCGAAGTGGAGTGCAAGTATGTCTTGATTGTGCGATTGATGATCGTGTATGTTCCCAAACGATGACTTCTCGACCCCCAAGACAGATTTGGAATGGGGCCCACTTTTCTCCCAAAATGTGAATTCACATTTTCCTTTTTCCCAAAATGTGAATTCACATTTTCCTTTTTCCCAAAATGTGAATTCACATTCTGGCCCTTTTCATAAAGAATCCTACAGAAAATTCCAAAAGGTGAATTCACATTTTCCTTTTTTTCCAAAATGTGAATTCACATTTTCCTTTTTCCCAAAATGTGAATTCACATTTTGCTTTCCTCCACAATGTGAATTCACATTTTGCCCTGGCCTTCAAGATCCCCAACACTGAGGCGTTTTGTTCCGCATATCAGATTGGCTGGGCAGATTTCGACACTCACATGACCGCTTTCGTGTGTTCCAGCCTTTTCTTTTTGCGCCCTCAGCGCACGTTGCCTTCGTCGCCTTTCCCGAGCCCCCCGCCCCATTGCTTCCTTTCCTTTCAAGTATCGCGCATGGGTGCAAGCGGGGGGCTTCCATTAGTTCCCCCGCCGACCACAGCAATCGAGGATGCATCGCCCATTCATGGCCCATAAAGACATCATTGCCGGGACCCTGCGGCCGACCCCCACTTTCACCCAAGGAAGGAGGTCGGAGGAGGAGGGGGGCGGGTGGAAGGAGGAGGACGGGGAGGAGGAGGAGGAGGAGGAGGAGGAGGAGGAGGAGGAGGGGGAGGAGGAGGAGGAGGAAGGGAGAGGAGGAGGGGGGAGGAGGAGGAAAAGTAGGATGAGGAGGGGGCGGGGCAAGGGGGAGGAGATGCAGGATGGGAATGGTAAGGATGCTGGGGGTGTGTGGGGAGGGGGGGGGAGGGAGGACGGGATGGGACGAGGAGGAGGAGGAGGAGGAGGAGGAGGAGGAGGAGGAAGAGGAGGAGGAGGAGGAGGAGGAGGAGGATGTAGAGGAGCAAGGGGCGAGGGCTGGGGAGGCAGAGGAGCCACGGCAAGGAGGGATGAAGGGGGATGGGGGAGAAGGGTAAGGAGCAAAGCGAGGAGCAGGCTGATTCGAGTAGGAGATCGACTATACATCTGATTGTCCTCAACCTGAATGCCCACGACGAAAGCGTAGGAATTTCGTAGCTGGACTGAAACTCTGGGGTATTTTCCGTAGATTCGACAAGGAAATTCTGGGGTAACCAATTCTGTAGTGGATCCCCTACTCGGATGATGCGGGGGTACCAGAATCCGTTGCCGTCGTCTTCGTCGACGTCGTCGTACTCGTCGATGTCGTCGTGTTCGTCGATGTCGTCGTCGTCGTCGTCGTCGTCGTCGATGTCGTCCTCGTCGTCCGCGCCCTCGTCCACGTCCTCCGTCGTCGCCGTCGCCCGTTTTTGGAATCGTCGTCGCAGTCGTCGTTTTCGTTTTCGTCGTCGTCGTCGGCGTCGTTGGAAGAGGATGAGGTAACCCAGCCTCCTGTGGCAAATTCCGCCACCGTGTTAGTCCAACAGTCTCGGTGGCAGCTGTTCGAACCGATGAGGGCGGTGATAAAGATGAGAAGGACAGGATGAAGAGGATGTTGGGCATCCGTGAGGCCCCGGGCCGAAGACCACCAGGGGCCGTTGAAATACACGACGGTTCCCCTCCCCCCCAGGTCTCCCCAGAGCTTCCCCAGCCCCCCCTGGAGCTTCCGGGTAGGTTCCAAATAGGTCCAAGACAGGTCAAATGGTCTCCGGACGGCCCCAGATGGCGTCAAGACGGACCAAGAGGTTCCAGAGACGCCCTCAGAACGCCCCAAAACGGCTCCAAGAGGACTGAAGGTGCCCGAAGAGGCAAACATCGTCCCATTCTTTTTCGAAAGCGCACATTTCTATCACATTTGTTCCCGGAAAGGGCGTGGGCCCATGGTTCTCTTGTAGTTTTATCACTTATCTCCAGCGCTAAGTTCGAAGAGCGCCTGCGTAGCCCTCGGAGCGCGAACCCAGCGTAATCTGCTAGGGAGCGTGGCCCTCGGAGCGCGAACCCAGCGCGACGTACTGGGGATCGTGGTCCTGGGAGCGCAGAGGTAGCACAATTCACGTGGGATCGCGGCCCTGGTGGCGCGGACGCAGCGTGATTTACGCGGGGCCGTGGCTCGGGGAGCGTGAGCTCCACGTGACTTACAAGGGATTGTGGCCCTGGGAGCGCGACTCCAGCGTAATTTACGAGGGATCGTTGCGCCAGGAGCGCGAACCCAGCGTAATGTACGGGGGATCGTGGCCCTGGGAGCGCGGAGGCAGAGCAACTCACGGCCCTGGGAGCGCGGCCGCAGCGCGATTTACGAGTGATCGCGGCCTTGGGAGCGCGGCCCCGCCGTAATGCGTTCGTTTCTGGGTCCGTCGCGTGTGGTTCTTTTCTGGGTCCGCGGGGTTTGGGGGAGCGAGGGTCTGGGGGAGCGGGGGGAGGAAGGGGTCTGTCTCCCCTTCCCCCCGCTCCTGACTACCTTCTGCGTGCATTCAGGGCACCTTCGCGGATTTTGACGCGCGTACATTCAGCGTACCTTCGGCGTACTTTCAAGAACGTTGATGCGTATAAGCAAAGCAGACACCGCGTACCTTCAGCGTACCTTCATCGTACCTTCAACGAGTGTGTCCCGCGCCCCATCAAAATACTTTCGGCATGCTTTCGGTATACCTGCGTAAGTTCTTGACGTTTCGCGTATCCCCACCATTCCGCGCGCGCGTCCGGCCAATTAGTTTCGGCCGCAGCCCGACCGTTACTCGCCGCCGCTGGCGCTTCCGCCCGCGGCTGTAAAAACAGAAGAAGTATCCCCACCATTTAGATCGGCCCGTGGCCCGTACCTTTCAATTCGGCGCCTGCGCTTTCGCTTGCGCCCGCGAGGAAAAAGTGCCCCCACCATCTCGACTCGGCGCCTGCGCTTCCGCTTGCGCCCGCGATTAAAAAGTGTCCCCACCATCCCCCCTTCCAGTCCCGTCTGGGCCCTCTCACCTCCTTGGCGGTGCGGGCTGCTCGCCCCCGCGTGTTGGCGCCCTCGGCCTCCCCCTGCAATCGGCTCTCTGGTCGTCCCCTCCCGCCAGTTGCGGCGTGGTCTGGTCGCGCCTGCCCGTGCTGCCCCCCCCCCGACACCCTTCGGTGTCTTGCGATCCGGATCGGTTCCGCTGAGCGCCCGCATGCCCTGTCTTTCCTCTGTGACGGTGGCCTGCTGTCATACGTTCCGCATCCCTCGTCCTGCCCTGGGCTTGCTGTGCGTCTTCCCGGCGGTCTTCCTCGTCAGGGACGTGACTGGCTACCCGAATTACCACCTGGCGCTGCACGACGCCCGGATGGACTTCCTGGCGTGCGCTCTCCACTGAGCGGCGGCGAGGCTCGCCTCCTGTTAGCCTCTTCCCCTGCTTGGTCTTGTCTCTTTGCACCTTCCTCTTCCCGTGAGCTAATTTAGGCCGTCGCTTCTGTGCTTCGCCGCACGGTTGCCTCGCGGCGGTCGCGATCAAAAGTGTCCCCACCATCCCATCCAGAAGGAGATCGCTAGGCGAGTTGCCTTGATCAGGGGAACGTAGATAAGTGCAACGCAGCAGCCGCCTTGCAAGCGTTTGCTCGGAGGTCTCTTGGAGACACCTTGGGGCTCTCTTGGAGCGCTCGCGGGGCCTCTTGGGGCAAGATTGCGGCACTCTTAGCGGCTCGGCGGAGGGGTCTGGGAGGCGTCTTGGGGCCATTCTGGCCCCCATGGCTAAACGGAGGGGGGGGAGGGTAATTAGAAATTTCCGCCCCCCCCCCCCCTGGGAAGGCTCCGACAAGGCGTCTTGAGGCCCTTTTGGGGCGCTCTTTGGCACTCGTGGGGCTGTTCTGGGGCTTGCTGGAACCCCTCTAGGCGCTCTCCTTGCCTTGAGCTTTGGGGCAATTTTGGCTGGCTCGAGGGGCGTTGGGGACCGTTTTGGGGTCGTCCGGGGTCGTCTTGAGTCGCGAGCCAGAAGCTACCATGAACCATCTTGAGGTATCTTGAGCCATTTTGGAGGCCACCATGCGCTCCCAGAGGCGTCTCGGGCCATCTTGGACGCTCTAACCCTTCGAGGGGCGCCCCTTTCCAGGCCCAGGGGGGGGTGCGGGGGAGGGCTCAGCCCCTCCCCTGAGCAGGGGAGGGAGGGAATGTTGGCAGAGAGAGAGCGCACTTCGTTAAACCGCCTACGCCCAGAGTGCTGGTGGGATTACCGGGGGCCGGGCGTAATGTACGATGCATATTGGCACTGGGAGGGCGAACCCAGCGTAATGCATGAGGGGTCGTGGCACTGGGAGTGCGGACGTTGCGTAATGTATGCGGGAGCGTGGCGTTGGGGGAACGGACGCAACATCACTTACTAGAAGTGGGAGCACGGGCCCAGCGGAATTCGCTATGGATCGTGGCCCAGGGAACGCGGACACAGCTTAATTTATGAGGGATCGCGTGGCCTGGGACAGTTCGACGAATAACGGGGCGCGGGGATCCTAGGAGGCTTCAGGTGATCCGCGACATGTTCCTCGGTGCCTCTCTGGCGCTTCCCGTGCCGCGTCCCGTGGCACTGCCCCTGACGTGTCCATTGGCACGTCCCCTGGCGCGTCGCCTAGCACGGTCCTTGGCACGTCACGTGGCGCGTCCCGTGGCGCGCGCGGCGCGTCCCCTGGCACGTCCCGTGGCACATCCACAGGTACGTTCCGTAACGCGTCCTTTTGGCACGTCCTTCGGTGCGTCTCCATGGCTTTTGGTGAAAGCGAACGGTTCAGCTCGAAGAAATCAGCATGCCCACTGGCGCGTCCCCTTGCACGTCACTGTGCGGCACGGCACATCGCAACACAGCACAACACAGCCCTTATCACAGTACCATCCACATCGATATCGTCAACATTGCCACTGCCTATCGCCCACTTGAGGTCGTTGAAACGTCGTCATGCCTCACAGTTCTAAATCCCTTTCCGGGTTCGTGTGTCGATCGTGTTTCGCCGTGGAGGAGGATGCGCAGGAGGCTTGGGTTCTAACGGTTCGGAGGGGTGGTAGGACGTTGGTGCCGGACTCGTTGCTGGAATCGGCGTTCCGTTGGAGTTTTCGTGACAATTTCTGCAAAAATCGCACTTTCCCGTCAATGTGGCCCGCATTCGGGGTCGCAGCGGTCACGATCCCTTACTCAGTATCATCCATGCTGGACGGAGGGGATATGATGAGGAAAGTGCAGGAGGAGAAGGCGAACCACGAGGCGGCGGGGGGATAGGAGTAGGACCATCATAATTGAGGAGGAGGGGGAGGTCGGAGGAGGTCGGAGGAGGGGGGGGACGGGACGGTGAGGATCAGGCAGGAGGAGGGTGATGAGAAGGACAAGGAAGGCCACGGAGAAGAAGGGGAGGATAGCGGATAAAGAGATGGGTCGATAGCGATGGGAGTTTGGGGAGATGATGAGAAGGAGGAGGACCACCAGGGATGGGTGGTCCAAGGCACACGAGGAGAACGGAGGAGCAGATGAAGACCATTGTGGAGGTGGCGGAGGGGAGGAAGGTAGAAGGTAGGGAAGGCGTGTGGTCATGGGAGAGAGGAGGGTGAGGTGGGCCCACAGAAACGAACGAGGAGGAGAATCGAGGAGGAGGAGGAGGAGGAAACTGAGAAGAAGGAACGGAGGAGGAGGAGAACGGAGGACGAGGAGGACGAGGTCGAGAAGGGGTTGGAGGTTGCCACGGCGCCTTGCACGCCCCAAACACCGGCACCTGCAGCTGCGCTCGCTGCTGGTGGGCAATTGCTCTTCGGCCGCCTCGCGCGAGCCTCAGTGGAACGCCAGAGGGGAGACTGGGGGTGGGGGGGGAACTCCCTCTTCCCCTCCTCTCCGACTTCCCCCTCCTCTGCCTCTCTCCTCCTTCTGCTCCTCCCTCCATTCTCTTCCAATTCCCTCCGCTTCCTCATCCTCCTGCCTCCTCCCCCTCCTCCTCCTCCTCCTCCTCCTCCTCCGTCGTCCTCCTCCTTTCCCCTCCTCCGCCTCCCCCCCCGCACCCGCGAGGATCGAGGACCGAGTTGTTTTGTGTGAGCGTTGTTTCGACGTGTAGTTTAGCCTCCCGATGCCTCTAGAGAAGGAGGGAAGGACTGGATAGGGAGAAGAGGTACACACATACATATGTCTAGCTATAGTTATATATATATATATATGTACATACACCTATATCTGTTGGTGTGTATACACTGGACATATATATATATATATATATATATATATACGCATTCAAATATAGATATAGAGAGAGGGGTGATGAAAGAGACGGATCTACTGATGTGTGAAAGAGCGCGTTCTGTGTCGCTTTGACGGGGGGGGCTTGGAACCGGACCCCTCCCCTGGATGGATTGGGGGGGGTCGACCGCCCCCCCTCTCCCGTGACGGGGGGGGGAGAGGGGTTCGACCCCCCCCCCCCCCTTCTCCCCCCCTCCTTCCTGATTTCTCATCTCTCCATCTCTTCGGGCCGGCGGCTGCGTCGGCGGCGGCTGGCGGCGGCGGCAGGGATGACGACTTCCTTTTCTGGGCCGGCGCCGGCGCCTGCGGCGGCGGGCGGCGGCGGCGGGGAGCGTCGACGGGCAACGGCGACGACGATGACGACGACGATGACGCACCGCCACCGTGCCTTGGTTTTGTGTCAGAGTGTGTCCAAATGGATGCCTCTTGGGGTCTCGTCGGAGGGCTCTCGGGGGCCTCTGAAGAGCATTTGTGCAGCCTCCTGGGTGCCTCTTGCGTGTCTCTTGTGGCCTCTCTGAGGTGGTGGTGGTGGTGGTGGAGGGCTGCGGTGGTGGTGCTGGTTGTTGTTTCGGTTGTGGTGGTGGTGGTTGTGCGGTTGGCGGTGGTGGTGGTTGTTGTGGTGGTTGTTGTGGCAGGTTGTGGTGGTGGTGGTGCGGTGGTTTCTGGTGGTGGTGGTGGTAGTTGTGGTGGTGGTGGGGTGAGGTGGTGGTGCGGTGGTGGTGGTAGTGGTTGTGGTGGCGGTGGTGGTTGTTGTGGTGGTGGTGGTGGGTTGCTGCTGGTAGTGGTGGTGGTTGTGGCGGTGGTGGTTGTTGTGTGGTAGAATGTGGCGGTGGTGGTGGTGGTAGTGGTGGGTTTTTGTGGTGGTCGTGGTGATGGTGGTGGTGGTGAGTTGTGGAAGTGGTGGTTGTGATGGTGGTGGTCGTGGCTGTGGTGGTGGTGGTGGTTATGTGGTGGATTGGTGTCGGTGGTGGTGGTGGGTTGAGGTGGTGGTGGTGGTGGTAGTGGTGGTGGTGGTAGTGGTGGTAAGTAATCGTCGCTGCGTCCCCGCCGTCGGCGCTGGCGCTGGCGTCGGCGCGGGGGGGGGTTGGACCCCCTTGGCCCTCTCTGGTCATCGTCGCTGCATCCCCGCCGTCGGCGCTGCTGGCGGCCGCCAGCTCGGGCGCCGGCGGCGCCGGCGCCGAGGTGCGGGGGGGGGTGTTTGGACCCCCCCCCTCCCTGGGTGCGGGAGGGGTTTGGGAGGGGAAGGTATAGGGGGAGTGAAACCCCCCTGGTTCTGATCGACGGCGCCGAGTGTTAGGGGGGGGCCCACTCCCCGGCTCGAAACGCGCCGCCAAATATTCCCAAGGCAGGCGCCCGTGAAACGCGCTCTCTCTGATGTGTACAGATTATGTATATGATGTGTCTATGTATGTACACTTAGAGGACAACGTTCAAAGAGTATGCTATATGGATACGTATGTATGCAAAGACATATTTTCAGGCATGTACGTTCTCATTTATACATACATAAACAATACGTATGTGTTCATACACATGTCTATACCTACAGAGAGATGTATACATGTGCACATGTATGCATGTCTGCAGTTATGTATGTGCATCCCGTGGCATCCGATCCATCCCGCCATCGCGCCTCGGTTGTAGGTCAGAGTCACGTTGGATGCCTGCGGGTGGACTTCTTGGAGGCGGTACCGAATTTTCTTTGGGGTCTCTCGTGGGCCTCATCGGGGCCTCGTCAGGCTTGATTTGAGCCTCTTGGGGGCCTCCTGGAGCTTCCCGGGGGCTCCTTGAGAGGGTGCTGGCGATGCCGGTTCGTTTTTCTCCCCTGCGGCCTCCCTTGGGGCCCTCTTGGGCCATTCTGGGGGCCTGTTGGGCCGTCTCGGGGCCCTCTTGGGGGCCTCTTGACCTGTCTCGGGGCGATTTTGGAGCCTCTTGGGCAGTCTTGGGGCGTCGAAAGCTCGAAACGGTGAGAACGCTAACCTCGATCAAACAATTCACACACATATATATATATATATATATATATATATATATATAAAAATACACATATATATACATATATACACACATGTATGCATGTATGCATGCATATGTGTGTTCGCATGTATGCTTGCACGTATGTATGTGTGTGTATGTATGTGTGTATGCACGTATTGTTGTATGTATGCAGGTGTGTATGTGGGCATGCATGCATGCATGCATGCATGCATGCATGTATGTATGTATGTGCGTATGTGCGCAGGCAGGCATGCAGGAAGGTAGGTAGGTAGGTCGGTAGGTATTTGTCTATGTGTATGTTTTACGTGTATGTATGTGTTTATGCATGCATGCATGCATGCATCCATGCATGCATGCATCCATGCGTGCATGTATGTATGTATGTACGTATGTATTGATGTATTGTTGGATCCATGTATGTGTGTATGTGTTGATGCATCTGTGCAGCAACAACAGCAACAACAACAGCAGCACACATGCTAAGACTGTTCGCTCTTACGTGCTCGCGTTCCATTCAGAACGTATCTCCCGAACCCTTGGTACCCGCCCGTTTCATCCTCGATCGAACCCCCCTGGGGGCATATCTTCCTTACTTGCCGCGCGTAGTTGGTGCAGCCCCTGAAGCAGGGGAAGAGAGGACGGATGGAAAGGGGGAGGGAAAACGATGGAGCACGGGATTAGCAGGAGAGTGGGCTAGGAGCTGAAAGCACGTGGCAGAACCAGTCGGGCCCATCGGGCGGGTTGACCCCAACGGGCGGGTCGGGAAGGTGGGCCCAATCGGCCAGGTCCAGAAGGCGTGTTGCTGAAGCGTGGGTACTGCATGAATCGCGAGCAGAGCTCGAGCGATAGCGCGATGTCCAAGTAAATCGCGAGAAATGGCCAAAGCCATTTTGGAAGACTTTATAAGGAAGTATCAGGCGGGAACCGTTGTTGTTGTAGTAGTTTGGGGCCCAACAGCCCAGCTTGGTGACACCAAGCTTCTCCTGACAAAAAACAGGGTGCGTGCCTCGATGGGGGGGGCACTTCAATTGAAACATATCATGGTTACCCGAGGAGGAAAGAACAGCAATTATTCTAAATGGAGATTCGACGCTCCCGTGCGACACTTACAATTTACTTCGCGACGCCCTGGCCAGGGATGGCTGAACCTCAGGAAGAGTGCTTTCGCTAGAGTCTTCCTTTCAACTCAGCACCATTGGGGGTCCTTTCAGAACAATATTGCCGATGCTCGCGGATACCGGAAATGCCTTTTTACATGCACTTTTTTGCAAGTCAGCACCACAGACAGGTCCGCTGTTTGCGGAGGCCCCGGGCAACACCAGGACGCTCCAGGGATATGTGTTCGGAAAGCGTTTTTCGGTCTTCCGTTCCCAGGTCGTCCCATGCGGCCCCAGGAAGCATTGTCTGTGTCGGGATACGTGTCTGGGGAGCTCTTTTCGGCCTTCTGCTCCCAGGTCGTCCCAGGGGATTTGTTCTGTGTATTTGGATATCTGTTCGGGGCGTTTTTGCTTTGCCCTCCCGCCCCCAGGAGGCCCCAGGAGGCCCCAGGAAGCCCCAGGAAGCATTTTCTGTGTTGGGACATGTGTTCGGGGAGCGCTTTTCTACCAGTCGAACCAGCCTCGAACTTCTCCCTATCCCTAAGATGGGCGAGCCAAACGCGAGGACAATCTTAGGGATAGACCCTCAGAAACTGAGGGAATCCTTAAGATCGGCATCGAGGTGAGGTAATGCCAAACATAGGGACAGGGATATGTTTCAAATTGGTTAACCCTCCGCTCCCAGGAGGCACCAGGAGATACTTTGTTCTGGATTGGGATCCGTGGTCGGGGAGCGCTTCTCGCCCCCCCCCCCCCGCCCCCAGGAGGCCCCAGGAGGCCTCAGGAATCAGGAGGGAAGAAAACACACAGACACAATGAATCGTCGATCCCCCAGAAAATGTTGGAAAATATGGGAAATGGGGAGAAGACAACAACCCAGAAAATATAGGAACATATGGGGAATCCTGTCATTTGTATGTATTTCTTTGTGTGTCCAAGTTCCCCTTCAAGGAAGAATGTTTCTGCGTTGGGCTGTGTGCTCGGGGAGTGCTCTTTGTCCCTCCGTAGGCTTCGCCCCCCCGGCCCACAGGCGTCGCCGCCCCTCCTCCTGGGGCTCGGCTCCCCGCTGCGCTCTATGCTTGTTCCAGCGGGGTGCTCCCCCTCCTGGGACCCGAGCCCTTTGTGTTTTACGCATGTCCTTTGCATTTAACCGAGGAAGACTTGGGGGTCCAACAGCCGGGACCTCCGATCTCCAACTGTGGGCCCGGGGCCTGCGAAGAGAGGCGGGGAGCGGGGAGGAGGGGTTCACGGAGAGGGGGGAGGAGGGGAGACGGACGAGAAGGAGGAGCAGGATGGATGCTAGAGACTGAGGGAGGGGAGGGGAGGGGAGAGGCAGAGGAGGAGGATGAGGAGGACGACGAGGAGAATAAAATAATCAGACGAGAACCCCTCCGTCGAGAAGGAGGAGGAGGACGAGGAGGAGGAGGAGGAGCTGAGCTGAGCTGAGCTGAGTGAGCTGAACTGAACTGAGCTGAGCTGAGCTGAGCTGAGCTGAGCTGAGCTGAGCTGTTGCTGCTGCTGCTGCTCCTCCTCCTCCTCCTCCTCCTCCTCCTCCTCCTCCTCCTCCTCCCCGCCGACGACGACGGATTAGATTTGCTAGCAGGCTTGTGGCAGTGTTGCGAGGCGATCGGCCTCTTACCTAAGCAGTTGCTGTGGGTGCTCATGCCAATGCTGCCTAAACCGTCGTCTGGGCATAGGCTCATAGTGCTTTACAGCGGTATGTATCGCATCTGGCAAAGGCTGCGGCGGCCTATGCTAGGATCGCTTATGGAGGAGGTGCATTTTTGAAACTCGTTTTCAATGTATGGAGGGCTCCTCGAGTGCTACGTCTCAGACAGCACCACTCTGAAGGGGTCGCACATGCCGAATTCGGGTTACCTGCAGGCGATTGCTTCAATGCAATTAGCAGTCGATGCAGGTCGTGCCTTTTATCACGCGAGCAGGCAGATAAATGCAGCAGTTAATGATAAAGTTGCTGTTGTTGCCAGCGATATTTCACTTGCACGCGACGTCGTGTGTGGCTTAGGGCTTGAGCCCAAGGTTGCGAAGCAATCGGTCACATATCTTGGCGTAGATGACAGTGCTGGTGCCAAGCGCTCTGCTGCTCGTGCGCGTGTAAAACAGCGGTCCCGCCTCTGGGGAATGAAGCTGCGAGTGAAAAAGATCGGCAGGTTTAAGTCCCGAGCTCCGAATAAAGAGGCCAAGAAAGGTCTCTCACAGGTCATTCGCACGGGTGTTGCTCCTGCTTCGTCGTACGGTTCTGAGGTTTTGGGCTTTTCGGATGCTGAGCTTAACACTGTGCGAAGGACCCAGGCTCGTCGGTTGCCGCCCTCCCATGGAGGGACCAGTGCCACGGCAAAACTCGTTTTGTACGGAGAGTGGGACACACGAGCTGCCGTTGGCCCTGCTCTCCAGTGGTGTCGCATGTTGTGGAATGCCCAGGTCAGTCCCAATCGATCCCTGATCCCTTTCCAGGAGTTGCTTCAGCTTTGGGAGCAGGCCAGGGCTAGCGAGGCTAGCGATTGGAAGTCCAGCCGTGGCCCCCTTGCGCGTGCCACGTTGTCGGCTCGTCGTGCAGGCTGGAAAGTGGTATCAGGCACCCAGTGGATTGACCATTGGGGCTGCACAGTAGATGTGAGTAAGACTCCCCCTCGCCTCCTCCTCGATCTCCTCCGAGAGGGATTGCAGCGAGAAGCGGAGCTTCGTTTTGCACGCAGGTTAGGGCACGCGCACGGTATGCGAGCCACTTTCGACCTTGTGCGCAATTGCATGTGTACGCGTAATAAGCAGCACACGCGTCAGCAGCAGTTCCTTCTCTTGTCGTGCGCCACGGATGCGATATGGACCGAGGCGCGCGCGTGTGATGCTGGTTACCTCACGGATGGCATGTGTGTTTGCGGCCAACGTGACACGTTGCACCATAGGTTGTACACCTGCTCGCGTCCTGAGGTGGTGGAGGCCCGACAGTCTCTAGACATTCCGTCGGAAATTTTGAACGAGGGGGCACACAGCGATGATCCTGTGTTTACTCGTGGTTTGTTCACGTTCTCGGATGAAGATGTGCCCCCTCCAGCCACCCACGCTCAGTGTGACATCCTCGACGGCGCAGGTCAGGATTTGAATATGCAGCCTGAGGAGCTCGCAACGCTTGCAGGTGATGTGATCGAGCTTGAGATGGCCTCCGACGGCAGCTGCACGAAGCAGGCCCTCCGCTGTCTCCATCGTGCCGCGTGGGCGATCGCCCTCATGGAGCCAGGCAGCGAATCGCTTCTTGCCATCTTGAGGGGCATTGTTCCTGGCGGTCTTCCCCAGACCCCTGCGATGGCCGAGCATGCGGGGGCGGCCCTGGTCGGGCAAGTTTCAGATCGCCCCACGGCGTTGGCCCTCGATTGTAAAGCTGTGATTTGTCAAACGCAGAGGCCCCTCTGGAAACAGCTGAGTGGTTCCAATAAATTTGCTGGTGTGAGGCGGTTTGCCCATGAGCTAGCAGGCACTGAATTTCTGTCCACCTTCCATGTAAAGGCCCATCGAGAGCTCTCTGCCCTTGAGGACTTGGAAGGTGATGATCGTAGGTTTGGTTTTGCGAATCGTGCTGTGGATGAGCATGCCAAGAAGGCCATTGAGGGCCATCCTCGGCCCCTGCCCACCTTTTTGGACCACGTTGAGCTGTACCAAAATCGAGCCAATGCGTTTATAAAGCTTGCTTCCGAAGTTTTACCCCTCTTCAAAAATGAGGTGCGTTGGAAGCGAGCTGCTTTCACAACCCAGGGTCGTAGTCGTCAGGAGAAGACCTGGCACCTCTGGAGGAGAACCGAACTGGGCATGCAGTATCGTTATTGTTGGACGGTGTGTGATCGACCCGATCGGCCCATTTTCGGGTGCAGGGGACCGCCTCCTGCTTTCCAGAAGCTGCTGCGCGATCCCCTTGGGCACCAACTCGTCGCCGTGTCGGGCTCGGCTCTTGATGCTCCTCGGTCGGACCTGGTTCTGGGCCCCTGCCGTGAGCAGCAATTCTGTGTTTGAAATGTGGGGGTTGGTCCCAGGGTAGAGCCCTAAAGCTCGCCGAGGTCTGTGGTAAGCCGACGCGGAAAGGACTGGACGTCCTGAGCCGTTTTCGTCGCGGGCTTGGCCCCAACATGAAAATCAAGGCCTTGATTGAGAAGACGTTGCCTGTGTCAAGGCTCGATGTTGCCCTTGAGTCGGATGATAAGCCCGAGCTGTGTGTTACCTCAGTCCCGCGAGCGTTTGCGGACTCTCCCTCGGCCCCCACTTATGAGCAGCGAATGGCGTCCCTGGTCGCCAGAATTAAAGCTAAAGAGGAGGCAAGAGCCTCCAGGGCGGTTTAACTCGGGTCGATCCCCCCCCCAAGCTTTTGGTGCTGTCACCTCCCGACCTTTCAAGGCGCTGTCCATCCACCATCCTCCTCCCCGCCATTCTCGCCCCCCTCGTCCTCTCTGTGCCCCCCGCCCTCGCCGCCCCCCGCCCTCGCCGCCCTCCCGGGCCGCGGCGCAGGAACGGGGGGGGGAGCGCCGCGGGCGCGCGCCACCGAGGCTCGGCGAGGCGTCGAGCCCGGTGATGTTCTTCCTGGAGCTGCTGGGGGGCTGCTCCTCCCTGACCAAGCTCGACCTGTCCCTGAACCGCATGGGGTATCAAGGACGCCCCCCTTCCTCACCACCCACCAAACCACCCCAACCCAACCCGAAGGCCTCAATTTGCCTTCCATTTCCAGTGGGGGGGGGGGTCGGGGAACGTTGAAAAAGCACATGGTATCCCTACCCCCCCCAACCCGAAATTCGGGTCAAATTCGGGTCTTCGGGTTGGGTTGGGGTGGTCTGGTAGGTGGTCACTTCCGCTGCGAGCCAGGGGGGGGAGCGAGAAGGAGAGGGCCTCCGGAGGCGGCGGGGCTTCTCGGACGCCCTGGCGCCCTCTGAGAAGTCCTTCTCGTCCGTCGTCGGGGAAGGCTTAAGGAGACATCTCAGAAGGCCGGGTGGTCTTCCGAGCCTTCTGAGAGGGCCTTCTCCTTCTTGCTTCCTCCCCTCGCTCGCCGCCGACCCCTCCCCTCGATCGCGGGGCTCTCGAGCGCGGTGCTGCCTCCTCAGAGGGGGCTCCTCGGGGGCGCCTTTCGTCGGCCGCTCTTGGGCCATCTCGGCATCCTCCTAGGCCGTCGTGGGGCCCTCTTGGTGATCCCCTGGGCCGTCTTGAGGCCGCCTTGGAGGCTTCTTGGACTGTCCAGAGCCGACGACAGCTCGAAACGGCGAGAGTTCGACAGTCTTTCGAACAACCTAAGGAAACTCATGACCTGGGCCTCTTCGGGCTTTGCTGGAGCCTTCTTGGGCTGTCTCGGAGGCCTCTTGAGCCGTCTCGGAGCCATCTCGGGCTATCTGAGGCCGTCATGGAGGCTGGACCATCTTGGCGGCCTGGGTGGCCTGTTTGGTTTGTCTTGGGGATACCATCTTGGGCGGTATGGACGCCTTTGAGAGCACCAGGGAGGTGTCTTGGCCTTCAAGGAAGCCCCTGGAGGGGGGGTGGTTCATGCAGACTGGTGCTACCAGAAAGGGTGAGGGGGGTCCCTTAGAAATACTACGGAAACCCGGCCAGGCAGCATTTGGCATTCTTCCACGCCTCAACGTGTCAGGAGGCACGGTGTCGGATAACGGCCTGCGACTGGTTATGCCATAGGTTGCGCCTTCGACCGTCGAAACAAAAATCAAACGGCCTGCGATTGGTTCCCCATCGGTTGCGCGCTCAGCCGCTGAGAAGAAAACGGCCTAGCTGCGCCATCGGTGTCGCGCTCGGCCGCCGATCACAAGACGGCCTGACACTGGCTGTGCCACTGGTTGATTTGCCAATCGGCTGCGGAAGCGGCCGCCGAGAACGGAGCCGCCTGCGATCGGTTGCGCCATCAGCAGCGCTCTCGGCCGCCGATGATAGTACATCGGCATGCCGCCTGCGATCGGTTGTGCCGTGCGTTGCGCGCTCGGCCGCCGAGAGGCAGACGGCCTGCCGCAGGCTGCGCCACCGGGAGCGCGCTCGGCCGCCGAGAGCAGGGCGGCCCGCGATTGGCCACGCCCACCGTTGTGTGTGCGCTCGGCCGCCGCAGGCCTGACGCCCCGACGCCGACCGCGCCGTGCGGTGCGCGCTCCTGCCGCCGAGCAGAAGGCGGCCTGCTGTCGGTTGCGCTATCGTGAAGTCGGGCATGGCCCTCCCACAGGGGGAAAAATAATAAGACCCCCAAAAATACACCAGAAAGGTAAGAAAAACAAACTAAAACAATCGTCCCCAGACCATGTTTGGACTGTTGTTGGACTATGTTTTGGGTATTTATTATCTTCCGTCGAAGATCCCCCTTGTAGGGGGACAGGCCCGACGTAGCGCTATCGGTTGCGCGCGCCAGCCGATGATAAAACAGCCTGCTATTTGTTACGGCATAGGTTGCGCGCGCGGCCGCCGATTGTACATCGGCCTGCTATTGGTTGTGCCATGGGTTGTGCGCGCTTGCGCCGAAGATACCACGGCAACAGTTTGCTTTTGGTGGTGCCATAGGTTGCGTGTGGGGCGGTTGATCGTAAAAGGGCCGCCGAACGCGTGCGACAAGTCCAGTCCAGTCCAGTCAGCCAGTTCAGTCGGTTCAATGAGTGCACCCTGCCAGAAGCCAATCCGGGCTACGCCCGCAAACTCTGCTGCCTCGATCTGTCTTCCATGCGCCAGAGGTCTTGAGCCATCTCCCCGCCCCTCCCTCCCCCTTCCCCATCCCTGCCTGTCCCCCCCCAAAAAAACTCATCCCCCCCCCCCGCCCCCCCGTCGTCCGTCCCCAGGCACTTCGTCCCGCCCTTCCCATCGTCCCCCCTGTCCCCTCGTCCCTCTATCTCCCTTCCCCCACCAGGGGCCCCCATTCCCCCCCCTTTGTCGGCGGGCGGCGGCGCGCCAGCTGCCATGGCGCCAGCTTCACCCATCGCCATGGCGCCATAGCTGCCCCTTCTCCAGCTCCCTCTCCTCCTCCTAGTCGTCCTCCTCCTCCACCTCCTCCTCTTCTTCCTCGTCCTCCTCCTCCTCCTCCTCCTCCTCCTCCTCCTCCTCCTCCTCCCCTTACATGTCCTCCTCCCCCTTCTCCTCCTTCCCATCCCCCTCCTCCGTGCTCTCCTTTTTCAGTCTCGGCTCGAGAATGTTAGGCCAGTTGCCAAGGCGCGTGACCCTCCGCGCCTTCCAGCCCGGCAAGTTTGCAACCTCATCAGACGGGGCCGAAACCCTTCACGCCCCTTCCTTCCGCGCGCGCTGCGGTTCTGGAGGGGCCGCGCCGTGAGCCTTCTGCGCCACCGCGTCCCCAGCCACAAGGCGCGGGCCGCCCACAGGCTGCCAGATCTACGACAGGACACCTGAACGCGACCAACTACTCGCAGGGCCGCTCCGAGGTCAAGTGCATCCAAAACGTTGCGCAGGTCACCTTCGAACCAGCTGGCGGCGCCATTTGGGTCCGTGGCGGCCTCGCCAGCGGTGGAGCACTTGTTCGCCGCCATGTCCGGCGCTGCCCTCGCCAGCGGCGCCCGCGGGCCGGGCGGCGCAGGCTTGGCGCGGCAGAAGGCCAACAAGTGCGACGAGGCAGCCAAGCGCGATAGCGCGCGGCAGCACTTGGATCACGACCCCACGTGCGCCTTCACGGCCATCTTCACCTCCCACTTCCGCGCCGCCCAGATCCAGAGGCCCGCGCGGTTCCTGGGGCAACGCGGAGCAGGCGCGGGTGAACGCAGACTGGCGGCGACTTTTCGAATCAAACCCGCGGACGTGCCCATGGCCCTATCCACGCCTGGACAGGATGGCATCCTGTCCGGCGCCAGCCGCCGCGGCGCCAAGGGGCCGCCGCCCAGTGATTATATCGCGGCATGGTACCCAGACGGCCATTACAGGGCACTTCACGAAGCGCGTGCGATCCCGCGAAGGTGCAGCGCTTACGGCGCTATTTGTAAGGATCAGGAGTGGGTGTCCGCGTCGACTTGATGCAGGCGAATGCCATGCAGGTCGCGCTCGAATTCAGAGTTACGCACGAAGCGCCCGCCCGCGCCAAGCAACGCATCGCGGGCGTCCAAGCATAGAGCGCCGCGAGAACGCGCGCATCGCCGAGGCCCTCACGCCCATCAATTGGCATTGCGAAGTGCAGCGCGCAGGATGGGGCAAAACCACCCGGGGCGATTCTTCCATCGTCGAAGCGGCCGCGCCGCCGCCAAACACTGTCCGCGTCCAAGGATCCACCGCCCCCCGGGTCATCGTCATGGCCGAGCCTCCTGCTATGGGTACACCCCAGCAATGGGTGGGCCAGGCGCCCGAGCCTCGCCATCGCTCCAAGACAGGGCGGCCGCCAGGCCGCACCTGCAAGCCCTGCTGACGTCGCCGCCGCCAAGCCCCCGAGAAGCGGCCCCCCCCGCGATCGCCTGGCCGCCTCGCATCAGTACCAAAAAGAAGGAACCAGCGCAGTAGTGGCGCAGCCAGGAGACCAGGGAACCCTCAAAGGGCGCCCCACGGAACTGTCCACAACAGGCGCCGCTGCCCCTGCGCGACGAAGAGGCATGCGACATGGCGGAGAAACGCGCGCACAGCGCGAGGGCGCCAACACCCCGCCGACGTTGTCCACAGGACGTCCGAGTCACGGGGCCACGAGGGAGATTCCGAGGCAGAGTGGCTCCCCAGGCCAAGCGCCCATGGGATCTAAGACCAAACCGACGCGAGGTTCTGGGGCCTGGATGCTGATCGGCAGCAGCCGGCTGGCGCGGTCAGGCGCCATGGGAAAAAACAGACAGCGGCAAGCGCGGTCGCTAGCCGGGCCGCCCTGGCCCAGCAGCGCAACCAGCTTGAACGGTGGCTCTGTTCGGTGCAACTGGATCAGATCGCCCGCGGGCCTTCGCGCCCCAGATGGTCCTAGTTGCCGCGATGGCCCAAGCCCAAGCGGCCGAGCCCAGCCCGAACCTCGGCGGCGAGCCGACCCCGCCAGGGCGGGGGGGCGAAGCCGCGCGGGCGCGCTCGCAGGAGGCGCCAGCCCGCCGCGGTTTTACATCCTAAAAAGCCCGGCGGGCCCGCCCGCGGTACCGCGCGCCACGCTCGGGGATGGACCTGGCGGCCCAGGTCGATCCCGCGCGCCGCCCCCTGGCCCCCGCGGCAGGGGCCGCGTTGGACTGCGTCGCGGACGCGCGCCTAAACCTGGGGCCGCGCCTTGGATGTCCGCCCGATATCTCGCGAGTCAGGCCGCGCTTCTACAATGTGCTATGGCAGCTGGAGATGCATTCGCATGGGAGGGGCCCGCTCCAGACCCCTGGCGCGCACCTGCGGGCACCTGCATGGCCGCTCTTTTTCGCTAGCAGTCTGTCGCGCGCGCGCGGGCCGAGCGACGGCGCCGGCGCGCGCCTCGCTCGCCCGGCGCGACATTCGTCGACGACAGCAACTCCGCGGCTCTTGCTGCCGGGGAGCTCCACGCGCCAGTTGACGAGGCCGCCCTCGTCGACCAGTTTTCTGGCCAGGCACTCCGCCCCAGCGCGGCGGTCGCGGGCGAAGAGCTCCACCGCCGGGCGGCCGCCCTCCAGCTCCACGGGCACCGTCTGCGAGCCCGCCGCCAGGCGAAGCTTGCAGGGGGCGACGTCGACGTCGTACCCGTTGCGAGCGACGCCCGCAAGAGCTGGGTGGCCACCGTCGACGCCAGGGCTCGAGCGGCTTTCGCCGGGGCCCTCCGCGTCAGGTGGCGCCCAGAAGGCGGCCGAGCGAGAGCTCGATCAGCGTGGCCCTTCGTTGCCGGCGCGCGCGCCTCTGGCGCCGACGCCCGGGCGCCCCGTCGAAAAGCTGGGCGCCTCAACGGCGACGCGCCTCTTCCACCTATTGGGCCCCAAGCAAGACCTTGGATCTCGCAATGGGCCCCCCGCGCACGGTTGAGCCGCGCCGGGGCTGAGAGGGCAAGCGCGGAGCGGCAGGTGCCGCGCCTTCCAAGGAGGAGGCGCCGCGAGCAGAGCTTGGCAAAACTTTTCCGCGCTGCGCGATGCTCCGCGACTAAAGACCCCATTTGTCGCGGATCCACCTGCAAGCGGGGCCGTTCGCGCGCGTGCTCCGTGCGCGTCAGAGAGGGCCCCCCCCGCGACGCGCCCGGGCCGCCGTGCGCGACCTGGGCGCCGTCGCCGCCAGCAAACAGGGCCTCGATTACTTTGCCGACGCGTGGTTCTCTGGGAGCAAGGCCAGATGCGCCGCGTGGCAGAGCGGTCTCTTCTGCAAGTATCTCTTCGGGCGCGGCCGCGCCCATCAGAGGGGGGTCAAGGCCGGCGCCTCTGCCGACCCATCTCCGCTGCGCAGATGGCGCAAGCGAGGATTATACTAGCAATGCAAATGAGATGCCCGGGGGCGGTCCGTCTGGAAACGCCCGCTCTGGGAAGTCGAAGGGGCTGCTATGAAACCTTGATGGCCGAGCAACGACGGCGAGACCTGCCGCCGCGCGCCAGACAGTGCGGCTTGCTCAACGACGACCCTCAGCTGCTGGATCTCCAAGTCGCCCTCGCCGATGACGGGCTCCCCCAGCCCGCCCCGCGGCCGTGTCCAGAGGGCCCGGACAACGACGCCTCCGAGGAATGCGCCGACGACGCCGGGGCCCAGCGGGCGCGCGCTGTCGCCGACGGGGCATGCCCCGCCAAGACCGCCCGTTCTTCGCCAGGGCTGGTTTCGGAGTGCAGCGCGGTCGAGGCCGCCGGCTCATACACGCTGCGCGGGCGCGCAGTCTTCTAGGCCTCCTAGATGGGGTCGGAGTAGATGGGGTCGGAGGATCGCGCCGCATCGCCGATACATCGGCGATGCATCGGCGATGCGGCTCGATGTGGGGCCCGTCTTTCTCCACGCCAACGTCGCCGATGCATCGCTGACGTCGCCAGTGCATGGCCGATGCATCGCTGATGCATCGTCGATGTATCGGCGATACGGTGAGATCCTCCGACCCCATCTACTCGGACCCCATCCAGGATGCCTCTAAGTCTGGCGCAGTTTGTGCAGAGGGCCGAGCGCTGGCCATGCTCAGTCTCGTCTCCATGGCTGAACGGGCCGGTGACATTTGCGTCGACAGCGCATCTGTCGTCGACGGATTCGAGGACCTCCTCGGCTGTGAACCGCCTCCGCGCGCGGGCGCACGCGCCGACCGTGTGGGTGAAGACCCGCCGCGTCTTCCTGGCCAAACCGGGCGCGCGCCAAGTCCAAGAGGTTGAATGCCACCTGGGTGAGCACGGCGTCATCGAGGTGCGGGGCGCGCCAACTGCCGAAGTTTTCAACCGCCGCGCAGACGAACTCGCCGCGGCCAGCGCGCCTGCGCTGCGCTCCGCAAGGCCTCGTTGACGGTGCCATGTGGCGACGCGAATTTGCGGCAGCCCCCCGCTGCACGGCTGTCGCCGCGCGTGGCTGGCGTCGCCAGATGCGTCCTCTGATGACAAAAGAGCGGGCTCTTCTCACGCTGAATTCAACCTACTGGCCAAGGCGGTCGCGAGCGATCTGGCTCGCCAGGCGGTTCCGCTCATCTCAACGGTTCAATTTCCTGTGCCCGAGTGCCTCGGTGACCTGTGTGATCCTTGGATGGGCTTGTTCGACGACTTTGACGTCGAGGTACTTGACCCGCTAGGGCCAAGCGCCTTCCCAAACGACGACCGAGGACGCGATTCTCTTCTCTCCCGAAGTCACATCAGAGACGACTACGGCGACCACCATGATCACCACGACGCGTGTCAACGGAGAGTCCCCAGAGAGCAAGTACAAGCCGTCCACAGTCAACAGGGCCAAACCGCCACTGCCAGTTCCCATCGCCACCAGGCCACCTCCTCCTCCTCCTCCCGCCAGGGTATAGGGAGCAGCGAACAGCCAGGGACTGCCGTCGGAACGGGGTTCGGTCTTCGGGGGCCCAGCGAACCGACCGTTGACAATTTCTCGCGCAGCACCTCTCAGCGGCCAGTCGGCAGCCGGAGGGTAACCACGAAACGGTCCTCATCGCTAGCACCGACGCGCTGCATCAGCGGGCCAAACAGTTCGCTGAATCTCTCCAGCACGTCCAGGAACAGTCAGCCTCTCTGCTAGGCAGGTTCCACCGAGCACAAGCTGCCTGGAACGGTCTCCGCCCGGCCTTCCGATCTGCCGTTTCTTTCGGGGACAGTTTCCGGGCTCTCTTTGCTGCTCGATGCGCGGCACGCCAGTGCTAACGCCTTTTCTTTCCAGTGGGCTCCCGAACTGTTGGCTCCTGTTCCGTCGCAGGGGATGCTCCAGGGCCGCCGTGGGGGATGCCCCAGGGTGGCGCTGCCACTGTTTGGGCACCGTATCGCGCATGTCAAAGCTTGTGTGCGGCCTGCGTCTCCCTGTTTGCGGCTTACCAGTCGTGGTCCCCGCAAACCGCGCCAGGGGAGAAGGGTAGCCTCCACACGCTTGAGCGCGCAAGCGGCAGCCTCCCGCCACACGCTGCAGGTGCTGCGGGCGGTTGCGCCCCGCGCGCCCGGACGGACACTTCGCCCGAACTGCGACGATGTCCTTCTCCCCCTCCCTCACCGTTTGTTTGTTTCGGGTGTGCCGGCGGGCCTTCGAATGGCCTGCCCAACAGCGACCAGCTCTGCTTTCCACCCTGGATCTTTCTGACCGCGCCAAGGGGCAGGGTAGCACCTAACCCTTGGTCTTCATTGGCCCCCCCCTGCCTTCGAGGCAGGCCCGCGCAGCCTTTGCCCGCCGCGGGGCCTGGATCAGACCTGGTCCGAACTGGTGCGCATCTCCCCTTCCCTCTCCCTCTTTCCCTCCCTCTCCCGTCTTCCTCCTCGCCCCTTCATCCCTCCCTCCCCCATTTCTTCCTCCTCCTCCTCCTCCGCCATTTCCTCCTCCTCCTCCTCCTCCGCCCTTTCCCTCTCCCTCCCAATCTCCCTCTCCCTCTCAATCTCCGTCTCCCTTTCCTTCCCATCCTCCCGCCACCCCTGCCGCGCAGGCGGCCTTATCCTGGAGGACCAGCTGGAGAAGCACGAGAACCTCAGGGATCTGATCGTCTCGCACAATCCGCTGGGCGTGCTGGGTGCGCCCGCCCCGTTTTGTGTTATCTGTGTTATCTGTGCTGTGTTTTGTCATTGTCGCTTCTCTTGTTTTATGCCAGTCTTGTTCAGCCGATCCCTGCCGCCATCTCCATCCACATTTCGAGCCCCACCGTCTTCCTACCCCAGTTGGGGGTATGCCGCTCGAGCCCCCAGGAGAGCAGCTTATATCCCCATCAGGGGGGTAAATCGGCCAGTGGGGCCCAGACCACGCTGATGGGGATGGGGATCGGTTGAACGATGCTCATCATGGGCATTTCTCTAGGGTTTTTTTTCTCGGAGGTGTTTCTCGGCCATTGGTCGCGAGATCGGCGATCTGTATTGTCAGTCGTTTCCCTCCGGGTGTTTCTGCGGGGGCTTCCAAGAGGCCGTTTGGGACGTCCAGGGCTTCCAAGAGGCCCTCAGAGACCCCCGTCCGCCTCCATTCCGCGTATCCTATATGCAATTCGGTGTCGCACCCCCCACGCGTGTCGGTAGGGCGGGCAGGCCGAGCGTTCCGCCGAAGCTGGGGATTCACAACAGCTTCATTGATGAAGGGCGCGTCCGCTTCAAGCTGTGGCTCTCGCTTCAGCGCCGCGCACATTCGTCTGAACATGTTTGAGCAGCTTTGCGGGTGGAGGGCGGGTCCTTTTCAACATGCGGTTCTCGCTTTCGCGCCGCGCACGCTCGTCTCAAACTATTGGGGCAGATTCGTGGATTTGGTGCTATAGTGTGGCTTTCGCCCTGGCGCCGAGCACATGCGATTGAACAGTCTGAAAGAGTTTTAAGAGGCTCGTTCGGATGAAGTCCGAAGGGGGCTGCTGTGGCACGCTTTCGGATTGCCAGGACGCAACGGGCACGTTGATTCGCGGTGGTGATGTCCCCTGAATGTGTGATCTGGCACGGATTCACGATTTTGGGTTGCCAGGCCGCAGCAGTCACATTGATTTGCGGTGCTGATGTCCTAGGGATGGTGTCCAGGCACGATTGAGGATTTCCAGACGGTTGTCTTCCAATTGGGCGCAGTTCCCGCCATGACGTGACGATGACATCCTTACAGGGGCATATGAAGAGGAATTTCGGAATGGTTGGAGATTGCAACATCGTGGGTGCGTTTTGGGTCTACACTGATCCTCCTCCTCCTCCTCCTCCTCCTCCTCCTCCTCCTCCTCCTCCTCCTCCTCCTCCTCCTCCTCCTCCTCCTCCTCCTCCTCCTCCTCCTCCCCCTCCCCCTCCCCCTCCCCCTCCCCCTCCGCGCTTTTTGCTCCAGTGCTTCCCCGGGACCACGGTGCCCCGCGGCGCCCGGCGGGCGAGGGCCGCCCGCCGAGGGAGCGGCCCTCCGCCTCGACGCGTGCCTGCGGGAGAGGGGGGGGGTCCCCGGCCTCGCGTCGGGCACGTCCCTCTGCAGGGAGGGATCGGGGGCGGAAAAGAGGGGGGTGATGACTAGGGGGGGGGGGGTGGATCTCATGGCGGGGGCCATGATGATTCCCCGGATGTTCTGGCGCCTCCTCCTCTCTTTTCATGGTGTCCCTGGCCCCCCCGCTGGGCCGCGCACGTGCCGCCGGTCATGATTATTTGCACCCCCCCTCTTGGACACCCCCTGTTGGCCGCTTCCGAAGGGAGCGTTCAAACATAACCAGCACAAATCAAGAAACAACGAAGGAGGAGCATTCGAACATAATATCCGACATGTTCAAACATGATCATAAGCATGATGACAATTCAGGGCGCGCCCCTCTACAGGAAGGGCGTTCAAACATAACAAAAATTAGTCTGGGGAGATGTTTGGGCATTTCTGGGAAATTTGTTATTGTTCCTCCAGGCTCCGCCTGTAGGGGGACATGCCCGACCTAATTCAGGCCCTCCCTCGATGCGTGCTCGCGTGGGGGGTCTCGGGCCTTGAGTCGGGCACGTCCCTCTACATGAGGGGTATTCAAAAAGAATCAAGGAATAGTCTGGGGACGATTGTTCCAGCATTTCTGTAACATGTTTTATCTGTCCTCCAGAATCCGCCTGTAGGGGGACCTGCCCGGCCTAACTCAGGCCCAATGGGCATGGCTGACACGGAGGTCTCGGGTCAAGCGCGCCGCCCGACTTGCCCGCACGTCCGTCTTGTTGACGAGCTGCGCGTCAGGAGAGGGGGCGGAGTAGGAGGGGAGAGGGGAGTTCGGCAGCAGATTCTGGGAGCCGTGTGTAGCCTTGTACTTACGTCCGTGGAGCGCACTGGCGTATGGTCGTATGGAAGTCGATGAGCGTAATTATGGTGATCGATGATTTCGCGCCGACCCGGCGTCGTTTAGCGTCAACTACAGTCGACTCAGCGCCAATGATCCGAGGCGGGAATGTATACATGACCACCGCCTGGGAGATCAATTTTCGAGGACCTCGCAGGCGGTGGATATGGATACATTCGGGCCCCCAGGGGCCAAAATATATCATCCATAACCACCGCCCACAGGGGCTCCAGGACTTCTTTTCCCAGGCGGTGGATATGGATAAATCTCCGCCTCGCAAATGAGCGTCGACTCGGAAGAGTCGGTCCGATGGTATGGGAGGCTCCGATGAGTTGCCGCCAGAGCAAATGAGGAACGCCACAGCCAGCCGCTGAGGCCATATAGCCAAGCATTCAGAAAATCAGAGCTAACTAAGGTTAGGAGAAGGCGGGAGGAGGGTATGAGGAGAAGGGGCTGTGGGTGAGGCTCGAAGGGGAGGAGCGAGGGTTCCATGGATCGTGGCGGAGTTTTCGTGGAGTTTGGGGTGTTACCAGGGGCGAGGGCAGAGGGATGGAGGGAGCAAGCGAGAGGGAGAAGAGGTAGAGGAGGGAGAAGGGAAGGAGGGGTCACTTGAGAAAGGCTCCCTCCATCTCTTCGTTGCACCTACTAGCCACGGCTCTGCTGACAAGGTGACACCAGGAGGCAGGCACAACAAGTGTGCAATCACTGAGTGGCCGCCACACCCGCATCTTCCATGAACAACCATCAGTGGCATCCGAGTCTGAATGGGTAAGAGCGAGCGAGAGTTTCTCATCTTGCTCCTCTTCCCTGTCGACCCTGCTTCGGCGCGCTTTTGCCTTGGCCGCAGCCCGTGTGCACGGGCTGCTCCACAATGTGTCGCGGTCACCCAGCCCCTTGTTTCTATCGGACTCGTTCATGTCAAGCGGCTGCGTCAATATGGTTGTCTACGTCTGACGGCTTGGGACGTGACCCGTCTCCGTGCGTTCGAGACTTTCTTTGGAGCGATCAGCCAGGTGCACCGTTTCGGAGAAGGACAATTGTTAAGCTGCCTACGGCAAACCGCTCCACTGCGACTATGAAACTGCGCAGCAGGAAGGACACCGAGTGTAGGGACAGCCCAATTCCGACGACAGGTCCGAACTAGAACGGGTCGTGACATGAATATCGTCTTCGTCCGCGCGATCGAGTTCACGCCCCGCTGTATTCTGCGAGCGGTTTTAATTGAGGCGGGTCGTGAACTCGACCTTATCTTCGTCCGCGCGTCAGGGAGGTGTTGCAGAGGAGGAGCAGAGGAGGAGGAGGAGGAGGAGGAGGAGGAGGAGGAGGAGGATGAATGGGAATAGGGGGATGATGATGAGGAGGAGGAGGAGGAGGAGCAGGAGGAGGAGGAGAGGGAGAACATGAAGACGAGGAGGAGACGGCCTCTTAGGGGCTCTCTTTGGACCTCCTGGGAGCCTCTGCGGGGCCTCTTGAGTCTTCTAGGGGGCTCTCGGCCCGTGTGACGCCTTCGGAGGCCGCCTCGGGGCCCTCTTGGGGTCCTCTTTGGCGACCTTCGGGTCCTTTTGGGCCGACTTGCGGGTCTCTTGGGCTGCCTTGGCCATCTGGGAGGCCTCTCGGACCGTCTTGGGCGATCAGAAACCAAGACATGCGAGACAGTCACCTTTCATGAGAAACTTATGTAACATCAATGGTATTTCCCTCCTCGGGCTTTCCTGGAGCCTCTTGGGCCGTCTTTGCAGCCTCCTGAGTCGTGTTGAGGCCGTTTGGGAACCTCATTTGCTGTCTTGGGCCGTTGGGACTGCTTGGGTGTCATCTTGGCTGTCTTGGACGCCGTTTTGAGAGCCATCTTCGCCGTCTAGTTGTTTGAAAAGAGCGCCAGACAGTAAATTTAGCGGGACTTCAGTTCGAGGTGGGTCACTGCGAGGGAAGGGGGTCGGCTTTGGAAAACACTAGCAACCTTCCAATCTACAGACGAGCATGCTAACACGCCCACTCGTCGCTTGCACAGTGGCGGATGCAGATCCTCCTCGTCCTTCCCCCTCCCACTTCCAGAAAGGAGGGAAACAATCAGATGATGGGGAGGGAGGAAGGAGGTGGACCCGTATAATGTATGACTCTTCGGTTCCTAGACCTTGTTTCGTTTCCCCGTGGGCGCGGCCTCACATGTTCTGGCCGTTTCCGTTGCAAACGAGGCATGCGCCACCTGTTCCGGCTGCTGATGCGCCCCACCTCCAAGCTGAAGGTGCTGACCTACGACAAGTGCAGCCAGAGGATCTCATTCTGCATTCGACAAACCAGAGCGAACATGTAAGCGAGGATCTGTAAGCGGGCGTGCCACATGACATCAATTGAAGGACGGACCACAGCGTTGTTTTTGTCGGTCCTGGCATCTGTGTGATGTTTATGGTTCCGTTGTTGGTTGTTACGTCGTGTCTTTTTTGTCCTTGTGCTTTCAATTGCCTCGTTTATGTGTTCGTTTCGTTTTGCACCAGCTTCACTTTGAATGAGGGGGCTCGTGTGGCTTTTCGTGTCGAACGCCATTTCATCTGAAACATCGTGGTGGTCGGTCCTTGCCTTCATCAAGGTATTGCCAGAACACAATGAGAGGCCCCTGGTCTACTCCATGTCAATCGAACTAGTTTTGCACCATGCATGCTTAGATGACGACGGCTAGCGATGGTGTTTCCTCCGTCCGCCACTCGGTCGCCCCTCTTCTGTATTTGCCTATTCGCCCATTTGGTTTTCTTCCCCTCCCCCCCAGCTCTTGTCGGGGGTGGATGGGGTGCCTACGAGGGCACCAGGGCTCATTCTACAACTGCCCGCTGCGTGGACGTCAGGAGCTGGGGGAGGAGGTTGACGGGGCATGGAGGAGGTGAGGAGGAGCAGGAGCACGAGGACTAGGAAGCGGGTTGCCAGGGGGGGACGGGGCCTGCCCTGCTTGACGACATCCTTCGAACAGGAGGTCGGCTACAGAATTGATGTACCCTGGATTTGCTTCTTCTTTTGCCGAATCTACGATCGAACACGTAGACTGTGCCGTATATTCACGGAGCATTCTATAGAAGTGTCGTAGATTCGACGAACAATCAATCCTGGGGTTAATCTCGGCGGCGAGCGAGGGGGGGAGTGAGAAGGAGGAGGTCTTCTCAGAAGGCGGCGGGGCTTCTCAGAAGTGCTCCGGCCTTCTGATACGTTTCCTGTGTCTTCGGGGAAGGCTATAGAACATTTATCAGAATCCCAGGGGACTTCTGAGCCTTCTGAGAAGGCCCGCCTCTTCTCACTTCCCCCCGGGATCGCCGCCGAGTAAAACAAGTTTGTAGTCGATCTCCTGTTTGAATCGCTGGGGGCTGCTGCAGCGATGCCCATCAGAGGCCTGGTGCAGGGGTCCCCGCTGGCATCCGAGCCCGCTCACCTCCTCGGCCCGCTCCCATCCCTGTGCGAGTCTGCCCGAGCTGTCGCTCGGCGCCCCTCGGAGGACGCCGACGCCCCATTCAAAGAGGAGCACGGGAAAGTTAAGCAATTCGGGCCTCCTCGTCTCCTTTTCCTCCTCCTCCTCCTCCTCCTCCTCCTCCCCCTCCTCCTCCTCCTCCTCCTCCTTTTCCTCCTCCTCCTCCTCGTCCTCCGCCTAGACGTCAACGCGAATGCCGACGCCCAATTCGTGAGAGTGCGGTCGAGGCAGTGTCACGATGACCCCGTTGGTTACCAGCCTGCAGCACATCCCTCGCCTTACTTCGGCGCCGACCTCGAGGGCTCCCGCGGTGTCCGAGGGCGCACTCCCAATGAGTGTCATCGCCCTGGGCTTGCCGACCTCAGGGCCAGGGATCAGCTCGAGGCTGTCAGGCTGGGCTCGCCCAAAGGGGGGGGGCTGTGCGTTTCGGGCCGCCTGCCAGACCTGGGTCGGGGAGCCTGCAGTGCCGTCTTCAATACATGCTCCGCGTGCGGATCATGTATCAAGAATGCAGGGATTTAGTATTAAAAACAACGATGAGTTCATGCATACATTTATTCACAATTTGATCATGTATTAAGCATCCAGTGTTTTTAAACATCCCATGTATGAGAAATTGTCCTGTAGCCTACGTATTCGTGGCCCAGGCTCGCCGCGGACAGAGGAGCCTCCTTCGTCCCTCGCTCCCAGTGTGGCGTCCCCCCACGGTGCAGCACGATGACCGTGCCTTTTCGGAGGCCCCGCGCAGGTTCGTGGGATCGGGATTGGTCCCCCCCGGGCGGCGCCTCTGGCTCCGCCCCTGGTGCGCTCCCGCGCGCCGCGGTCTGAGCTAAACGCGAAGTGTCAAACATGTTGTTGGCCGCGTGGCGTAAGGACAAAAAATGCGCTCCGCGCGCCGGGCAGGGGGGATCCCGCGCCGACCCGAGAGATCAGCGCGGGCCTCCGGCAGCTTGTGTGTTGGGCATGCGTATCCTCCACGCGTGCCTGATCCCCACCAGCCCGTGCAGACACGTTGCCGACGAGAGCCGACAGGAAACGGGCGGACGAGGTACTGGAGCGATGCACAAGCGATTCGTCTGCTTCAGGAAAGTGTAGAAACGTGCAGTGGATCTGCCCAGAGGTACGAGGAAGAGCAGGAGGAGGAGGAGGAGAAGGAGGAGGAGGACGAGGACGAGGACAAGGACGAGGAGGAAAAGGAACAGAAGGGCGAGCACGGGAACGAAGAGGGGGAGGAGGACGACGACGAAGGGAGAAAGAGGACGACGAGGAGGAGGAGGAGGAGAAGGACAATGAGTAAAAGGAGGAGCATCACCATGATAACGAGAACGAGGCGGAGGCGGGGGAGGAGGAGGAGGAGGAGGAGGAGGAGGAGGAGGAGGAGGAGGAGGAGGAGGAGGAGGAGGAGGAGGAGGAGGAGGCGGAGGAGGAGGAGGAGGAGGAGGAGGAGGAGGACGACGCGGACGAGGATATCTTGGGGGTCTTCTTGGCAGCCATCTTGGGGGTTTTCTTGGGGCCTTTCTGGCATCCTCTTGGGGCTGTCTCGTGGCCCTCTTGGGGCCCTCTTGGGGGGGTCTTGGGGCCCTGCCGGGCCTTTTGGGAGGTTCGTGGGGCCATCTCGGAGGCCATCGATCAAATGAGGTCCTGAAGGGGGTGTCCTACTTCGACTCCCCCTTCACGAGCCTTCGAACCCGTCTCCTGGGGCCCTCTTGGGATGTGCCGCTTTAGCTGCTGCGGCCACGGCAGCGGCGGAGGCCGAGACACCACCGCCGCCATCAACTTCGCACCGAAGGCGGAGGCGATGAGTGAAGGCCAGCCAGCCAGAAGCAGCGCTAGCAGCGAGGGCATCCACAGCGATGCTGCCCTGGCCTGCCAGGCTGGGACCGCCCGTCGAGGGGCAGCTGGCCCTGGGCGTGTGGTAGTCAGTATCAACAATGTGTAATGCGTATACACATTTTTAGACATATATCAGAGTGAGGGGGCCGAACGGTCATTCACTGTCCCTGGGTGCGTGGCTGAAGTGGAATTCCGCGGTGCGGATTCTCGTTGTTGTTGTTGTTGTTGTTGTTGTTGTTGTTGTTGATGTGGTTGTTGTTGTTGTTGTTGTGGTTGTTGTTGTTTTTGTTGTTGTTTGTTGTTTGTTGTTGTTGTTGGTGTTGTTGTTGTTGTTGTTGTGGCTGCTGCTGCTGCTGCTGTTGTTGTTGTTGTTGTTGTTGGTGTTGTTGTTGTTGTTGTTGTTGTTGTTGAACATTATTTATTCTAAAGAATAATTATTGTTGGGACCCCTGGTGCGCGGCCCCCTCGCCGCGCCTAGGCCGCAGCCACATTTTCATCATTTTCGTGAGGAAGTCTCAGGCAAAACGTGGGTGTCCGGATCCGGTTGTTTTGTTGACGCCCGCTTTCCCTTGCAAAAAACACTATAAAATGAAATTTCTTGTTCTAACATAACCAAACTTCAAGAATCCTTTGAAAAAAATGACACGAAGTGCACACTCGCGCGCGCAAGATGAAATCCTTCCAAAACCTTAGTTTTCGTAGCGATTTTAACATAAAAACATGAAAAACCCAATGGTTTTTCAAAAAAAAGTTTCAACAATTCATCTTGCGCGCTCTTGCGGATTTCTAGGAAACCCAACACTTTTTAAACATTTCTGTCAAACGGGCTTTTGCGAGCAACTTTTTCACGTGCTTCGAACTTCTGCAACAACGGTTGCGCACATGCCAGGGCCATCATCCCTGTCAAATAATACCATGCGGGACACATTCGTTTTTTCTTCGCGCGCGCACGCCGTCGTCGTCGGCCGCGGGGCCCTGAATAGTAGCCACGGTCGTCCGCATGCCACGAAGTGAAGTGTCCGAACGTCATAGGGCGGGAAGCTGGGTGTGGGTGGTGGCGAAGAGTCGTATGGAAATTTGGTAGAGCTTGAACCGGCCCCCCCACAAAGTGGGGGTATTGCCCGCCTCCTATGAAAACCCTGGCACTGGTGAGAACGGAGTGTCCCCAGTCTTAAATGATTGTTGTTGTTGTTGTTGTTGTTGTTGTTGATACAGGCGGGGCAGGCCCCCCCGGGGGGGAGATGGGAGGGGGGGGGGTGCGAACAACACAACACAACACAACGCAACCCTATAGGGGGTTTGCGTGTGTCCTCCTCCTTCCCCCCTCTTCTTCCTCCCTCTCCTCCTCATCATCTTCGTCCCCCTCCTCCTCCCCGTCCTCCTCGTCCTCCTTCTCCTCCGTCCTCCTCTGCCCCCTCCCCCCCCCATCCTCCTCGCCCTCGTCATCCTCCTCCTCCCCTTCCTCCTTGCCCTCTTCCTCCTCATCCTCCTCCTTCTTCTTCGTCCTCCACCTCCTGGTCGTCTTCTTCCTCGTCCTCCTCCTCCCCCTCGTCGTCGTCGTCGTCCTCCTCCTCCCGATCCTCCTCGTCCCCCCCGCCATCCTCTTCATTCTTATCATGTGTACGACGGCTACGACGGACTACTACTACTACTACTACTACTACTACTACTACTACTACTACTACTACTACTACTACTACTACTACTACTACTACTACTACTACTACTACTACTACTACTACTACTACTACTCGACTACTACTACTACTACTACTACTACTACTACTACTACTACTACTACTACTACTACTACTACTACTACTACTACTACTACTACTACTACTACTACTACTTACTACTACTACTACTACTACTACTACTACTACTACTACTACTACTACTACTACTACTACTACTACTACTACTACTACTACTACTACTACTACTACTACTACTACTACTACTACTACTACTACTACTACTACTACTA